AACTACATAAAACTTGTAACCGCAGGCGTCGGCGGCGAGACATGCAACCTTGCACTTGGAATGGTTGCTCAGCCCGGACAGTTGGACAGCCGGACAGCCGGACAGCTGGGCAACGACACTGGTCAAAGTCGGATTGCATGCGCTTTTATGAATGAGTCTGGCAGGCGCAACAAATGTTAATCCGCGACCCCGTTGAAGGGTCGTCCACGGGCTGCACGCCACGGTCCAGGGACCACCAACGAGCGAGAGTGTGAGAAAGAGATAGAGCGAGGGAGAGAGAGTGAGAGTGCGGCAGTTGGTCAGCTCGTCTGTCAGTGCTTAGGCGTAAATTGAAGCGCAGGCACAGAGCGGACATTGGCGAACACTGTCTCTCTGTCCAATCCTCTGGCATTTGCTGGCACACTCAGAAAAAAATATGCCTAGTTATGTCTAAATACACGAAACAAATTTTCTTGAGTTGGAAATAACAAAAATAATTATTTAAAGTCGTAATCTTGATATATTTGTTAAATTTATAATGTATATAATCTAAATTGTAAGACATATCTTTTTCAGAGTGTAGCCTCAAGTCTATCCAGTATGTGTACTCTTCTTGTTGTTGTTTTTGGCTGCCACTTACAGGGATATGCTGCAAAAAGAACAAGTAATGCAAACAAACGCAGCAGCACATTGACAAGGGGCAGGACCTGGGCCGAGCCCTGTCGGTTGGTTGGGTTTCTGCCTGGGTTGGTCCTACTCCCGGCCAGACTGTGTACGGTGCTGTTGTGTGGTCTGTTTTCCAGCATTGAAAGCATCGAAAGCCCTTAAGCTGAACCTTGAAAGCATTGCAGCTGTAGTTAGGGGCAAACGAAGATAAAAGTTCTCAGAGACATGGAGAATAAGTCCATTATTATCTGTAACACAAACAGCAGGTCAGTACGATCTTAATCTGGGCAGTATAGTAAGCTGTTCCATCTGAATTTTATATGAATGATAGATTTAAAAGCTTGCTCAATAAACCACATACAAATAAACAACAAAAAAAAACATATAAATATAAAAATTGCAACCTCAAACTTCGACAGGTATTTTTAATTTCTCTGTTAACAATGGTTTCTTTGAATTGAATATTTGATGTGTTTTCTATATTGATTTTGCATCTTAAATTATTCAATTTGTGAAAATCGATAGATGTCTTTTTGATACTTTTAAATAAGCAATGTCGATGTGATATTTTGAATGGATTATGGAAATACAAATCTATTTCACGAAAAACTATAAAAAAATTTCTGTCAAAGCATTATTTCATGCACATTCAAAAGTTGAAAATCCATAAAGTTGCCAAATGCATCTACGTGCAAGTTTATAAATTCAATTATTCGAATTGAAAATACGCGGCTCAAAAATATTCTCTTGCATAATCATGCCATAACAAACAATGTGCTTTGCTCACTTTAAGCTGACTACAAAAGCCATGCAGGTAATTGGCAATGGGTGGTTAAAGGGCTCACTAATCAGGGACACGCATCAATGCACCCTAACCCGGCCAGTGCAACCCCAGGGAGTTACGGTGCACGTTGCATGACCAGTCAGTGCAACAACAGCAGTCAATAGCAACAATCAGCTGCCAAAGTTCACTACACTCTAAAAAAAAACATTAAAATGTTTTTCCATTGAAGTTTCTGCCTTAAAATAAATTATTTTTTTTTTTGTAGAAAAAGCTTAAAATAAATAACTTAAAAACAGAAAGGATAGTCTTTAATCGACAGAGCCAATACTAAATTAGATGTTTCTACTTTTCAGAAATAGTTTATTTTTGCAGAAATACATTTCGAACTGCAGACAGAAAAAAAGTTGCTAGTAAATTCAATCAAATCCATGATAGCTGTTTCAACTGTTCCAATCAACAATCATGGATTGGAATTCTAGACTTCTAGAATTGAAAGTGCTGATTTGAAATATTTGAAAGTTTCTTAAAAATAAAATAACATAAACCTATTCTGATTATTTTCATTTCCGAATTTCTCGGATTTGTTTTTCAGTGATTTAGAAATTTGTTTTGATCTTCAAAGTGATAAGGCATGTTGTTTCCACAGTGCAGCAAATGGGCGGCGGCTTGAGAGTTGTTTAAGGTCTGGCTGTTGGTGGAAAATTTAAAATTGTCTTTAAGTAATTTGCTGGCTTCAACCTGCCTGCTACTGCTGTCTACTGCAAGCACCTCTACCTACTTACTGACTGCAATTTTTCAGCAACTGACACGATGTCGCCTGAGCTGCCTAAGCTGCCAGCCATCCTGCCTGCTGGTCTGTGCTGCTGCATAATTGCTTTGTGGCTTGAGGATTGCACATACACCCATTTGTTTTATTTTCTTTCTTCTTTTTTTTGCCCAAGTCTCGTCTCCAGCCTCGCCTGTCTGCCTGCTTCCAGCTGACTCACCCAAGACAGCGAAGCTGTGCGGCTCACTAAGCTGTCGGCTTGGGCTGATTTGCGGTAAAGCGACAGGCGGCTTTTAAGCCTTTAAATGCATTCAGCTCGTTTAATTTGCAATGTGCCACAAAAAAAAAACCAAGCAAACCAGCAGCAGCAGCTGCTATCTCTTTCTCGCTGTCTCGTACATTATATAATTAAGTTAAAGTGAACGGCGGCGGCTGACAATTTGTGGGCTGTTCCCAAGCTCCCAGCTGTCTCTCCCCATTCTGGCTGCACGCTAATTTCTTAATTTTCACCTTCCGCTCTTGCGGTGGCAAGTAACACTACACACTGGCTCGTCTACGCATCGAGAACCGTAACCATACCCGTGTACCCGTCCCAATAACTAGAGACAGAGACAGACAACCAGAGCCAGAACCAGAACCAGAAGCAGACCCGCAGCCATACGCTGGTAATTCTATCCACAGCCGTGTGAAGCACAACCCCTTTTTGATGGCTGCCCAAAAATCATTTCCGTATTTCGATGTCTACTATTATTATTATGACTTTTATTGTTATGTTCGAAACGATGCCTGTTTGTGCTGCTGCTGTTGTTGCTGCCCGCAACAATGGCACGACGACCCCAACGGCCCAACTCCAGGCATAGGAACTAGCTGTCCAGCCACCTCCAATCTCCAGCCACCAGTCTCCAACCCTGCTTTGGATGATTGCTGTCGCTGGTTCATTCGCGCGTTAAATGCGCGGTCGGTTGTAGGTGTGGGGGGAGGGGATGTGATGGGAGAGCTGGAAGAGCTTGGGGAGCTGCTTTTGTAAATGAAACCCTCTCGATTCGATTGAAACTACGATGGGTTTATGCTTTGGCACTGCTCTTTGCCTCGATGGCCGTTTCGTGTTCAATTTAGCGTCATAATTTCGTTTATAGCATGGACTCTGCTCACTTTTGCCCCTCAACTCAGCTCATCGCCCTCCACCCTCCGCACCCCTCACACATTGCCCACTTTGGCCCTGTCAGCGTTGCTGTCAAGTGTTTTGTTAAGTTCATCTAAATTGTCGCCGACTGAGGCCGAGGCTGCTACTGCTGCTGCTACTGCTGCTGCTGCTGCTGTTGCTGCCACTTAACGCAATTTTCAGTCGCGTCTACTTGACTGTCATTCATGCACTCATTGGAGGCAGCAGTGCTGAGCATTCATTCATTTCATTCATTCACTCACACTCACTCACTCTTTCACTTCATTCAAGCGTTTCACGCCATTTACAGTTACAATTAATGTTTGTTTGCCTGCACACCCTGCACACACATACACACACACAGAAACACACACACAACATCAAAGCAGTCCCAAGGAGCAACCTTAGCTGCTCTCCTTCTCGCGCCCACATCTCTTATCAAAGCAGCTAAAAGCCTGAATATTTCATAAAAGCCAAGTTCATAAAAAAAGACAACAACAAGCAACGAGGCCCAGCCAATTGCCCCCGGGGAGCAGAAAAGGGTCGCTGTGTGGCAGAAAAGCGCAACCTTTGCACCAAGCGTTGAACATTCAACATTTCAACATAAATAAATATTGTTGCTACATATAGTCATAGTAGACTCTACACCTAGTCTCGCTCTGTCTGCCTCTGGGATGCCCACCTGTACACCAAAGTAACCCAACCCAAACCAACGCAATCCAACCCACATTTACTGCCCTGGCCACCTGACTGCTTGGGATGCTTCTGGTCAGCTGGGGACTGTCATAAAGTATGTTAAATATTTGTTGAGCGAGGTGCGTTCAGTAATTTAAAGGCCAGTGACGGGGTTCATTAGATCTCTCTCTCTGCCCTTAACTCAATTTGCTAACAGTTGGCAAGAAGTGGGAATTTGAGTTAAAGAATGAAAAAGAAGAGGAAGCAGCAACGTTCAATGCGCAGCAGCTGGTCACACTGACGGAATTTTCGACAGCTACTTGTTGTTGGTGTTGTGAATGTGAGTGTTGGCAGAATTTTAATAGCTTTACATATGATTTATTCAATTTTTTTCTATTATTGCTTTTTATTTATTTTTCATTTTTACAACAAAAGCAGTTAAGAAACATTTGTAGAAGAAAAAGAAGTAGTTGCTAAAGCAGCAGCTGGTCACACTTGCAAACTTTTTTGTTGTTGTTGTTGCAGCTGCGATGTCGGCCGAATTTTAATGGTTTCACATATGATGATGATGTTGTTTTCTTACTTTCTTTTGGTTTGTTTGTGTTTTCTACAATTTTTTATTTGTGCGGCCAATCGCCTAAAAGCGTGCAGCCATTTTTTTGTTAGCTTCTTTTTTTTTTTTTTTCGTTAGAGCTGCTTTTGATTTGATTTCGCTTATGCAGTGGGTTACTTGCTCCTTTTGTCATTTGGCCCAACCACCACCCTAATTTGTTGTCGCACACGTTTTGCATACAAAGCAAACACAGACACACACAGACTAACACACACTCACACACACACACATGTGTAGGGAGAAGGGTTAACCAGCTCATTATGTGCAAACACACATGACCACATACATAGAGGAGAATGTTTGTTTGTGTGTGTTGTTGTTGTTGTTTTTTTTGGGCTGCAACTCTTTTACATACTTTTCGTTCCCACCTTGGAGTTTCATTTCACTTCTGTTGCTGTTGCTGCTGCTGTTGTTGTTGTTGTTGCTGCTGCTGCGTCGAACGATTTATGCACTTAACATCATTTAATTTTCCAAAAAAAATACCGCAACAAACAACAATTTTGGACTATAGCACTTGGCACACAGACACTTCTTGGTTGTTGTTGTTGTTGTTTTTTGTTGTTACAGCTTTGTTTGGTTTGGTTTGCTTTCCTTTTACTTTTCTTTAATTTGTTGCTGCTGTTGTTGTTGTTGTTGTTGGGAGGCCTTTAATCAAAGAGCAACAACAATGAAATGAAAACAAGCAGCTCTCGCGCGGAGCTGAAAGGCAGCCGCAGCTCCCAAAATTGCTTGGACGAAACGGTTGCTGCAGGCGAATTATTCGCGAGACACTCACACTTACACTCACAAACACTCAACTGAAATAACTCGACGCCTGTTTATGTTTTCTGTTTTGTACGACAGTCGTTCCGCATCCGCACCGTTTCACAACACGTCCACTCGCAATGCAAGTCGTCGCGCAACTGAAAACTGGAAATGAAACCAAGTTGTTGCTGTTGCTCTTGCTGCTGCGGGCGCTGCTGGCGCCGCACAGTGGTACATGTTATGTATATACACTGACGAACACTCAACAACCAATTGGAATATGAAACAAATCTGTTTTGTGCAGCTATTAAAATTAATAGTTTTTGAACATAGGTTGCAAATTAAATTTGAACTTGTACATTTTTCTACAAATAGTTTCTACAGAACGAATTTCTGTTTTCATATGTTTTTTCTTTGCAAATTTATTATATCTTTATTTATATAAGTAAATGTTTATAAATCAATGCGAAGTGTCTTCAAATATTTTTTAGTTTTATCCCATTTGCAAAAATGGGCTCCACTGTGCGATGGTCGATGTCGCTGGTAATACTATGGCAGTTGCCACTGTTTTTCGTGTAGTGTTTATGTTCTCTTCATGGCATCGCTGATGCTGCTGATTTGTGCTGTTCTCTGCAATGCAATCTCGCACTGGCAATCTCAATCGAATCGAATCGAATCGGTTGACGTTTGATTTTTTTTTTGTCTGCGGTCGCATAAAAACAAAGCATCGTCAAACGAAGCGGGAATGATGGCAAATGCATAATTGCTTCAATTGAATTAAAGTGGATTTAATGCAGACATGCACTAAAATTTTGAAACATAATTACATATTTATTGAGGTAATTTGACATGACAAATGCTAATCAAATTTATCACGCGCTCATTAATGTGATAATGATATCAGCTTGAAAACAAGTTAATTAATAGCATTACTACCATAAATTTCAATATTAATTTTGTGAATAAATTTGGCATAAGCGATAAACAAAAAATAAGTTTTTATATAAATAGAGTTGCTTTGTGCCAATGAAAACATTTCATGGCTCATCTTTAGCTGGATTAATTAGTCGTTGTTGTTGTTGTTGTGCCAGGTCTGCAACAATGTTTCGTTTACCACACGTTCCGCACACACACAGCAAGGGCTCTCTTTGCCGGCTTTCGCTCTCTTAGGCGCCCACGCAACGCGCTCTCTCTAACGGTACACTGACAATGGGATGCTGCCTGCGTACTTTGTACGCTTTTTTCCACACACACTCGCAGCCATGATGGTAGAATACCCTTCGAGACGAAACACTGGGCTACTACTCTTTGGGTGCCATACTCATTTCCGGTTTCCGTTGCTTTGTGTGCGTGTCAAATTTGAATTGCGCTGCGAACTTTTGGCGCGCTGTGACTTTGTTTAACTCTGCTTTTCTGCGTATTGCAATTTATAGAAAACACATTAATAGCCGGGCAGAAGGACGACAACGGCGACGACGACGATGATGACGACGATGTTGGCGGATGTTTGTAATTTCCACAAGCAATGACAACAGCCGCCCCTCAACATGGGCGTGGGCGTGTTTCGTTATACAAATCAAATTGTCTCGTCTCAACAGAAAATCCATTTTATTAGCTGCCAATTGCCGGCAATAAAGAGAACTTCCCTTGCAGCAGGCTAATCAACGTCTAGGCCAAAACAAAAACGACAAGAGGTAAAGAGTTGGGCACAGGTAGAAAGAGCGCGAGAGCTTTGAAAACCCCCTAACTGATAAGCGAAAAACGCGATGCATTGATAAGATTAGACCAGCTGGGCGCTGTTAGCTTTTGGGAGCGGGAGCACAAAGCAAAAGCTTACGGGCATATGAAATGAATGAAATTAGTCACGATTTGATTGGAAAGAAAGACGGTCATGGATACCACAGATTTTTCGCTCGCATTTGGCAAGAAGAACAAGCACAAGAAAGATAAAGCGGATGCAACGCTCGAGGCCAAAACGCCCACATCTGAGGCAGATCTCAAGCGTACAATTGTCTCCCGGCCAACCAGGGATGACACCTACGAGAATTGTGCTCGCATCGGCATCGCCATAATACTCAATCACAAGGATGTCAAGGGGCAGAAACAGCGCACGGGCACCGAACGGGATCGCGATGATATTCAGAAATCACTGCTAGGTTACGGATTCGATGTGCGTCCCTACAACGATCTGACCTTTGCCGAAATAACCGATTTGCTCAAGGAGGGTGAGTAATGCCCATAAACAGCGACTTGTCAACGAGATATGCATTGCTTAAAACATGTGTTTTTTCTTCTTTCTGTTAATTTTTGTTTATTTTTATTTATGGTGAAATATTTTCTTCTTTTCTAAATATATATATATATTTTTTACAGTGGCTCGCGAGGATCACAGTCAAAATGATTGCTTTGTGCTTGTTCTCATGTCGCATGGCGCCGAGGGTAAGGTCTATGCCAAGGTATGTACTCCAATCATATTATCATATATGAATAAAGTAACATGCTTATTTTAAGGACATGGCGTATCCTGTGGAGCGCCTGTGGAATCCCTTTCTGGGCGACAGCTGCAAAACGCTGGTGAACAAACCGAAGCTGTTCTTCTTGCAAGCCTGTCGCGGCGAGTTGTTGGAGAAGGCTGTAGAGTTTTCCGCCTTTGCGGTCATGACCAGAGAACTGGAGCCACCAGCTGCTACAATGGCACAGCCTGTGACCTATGCCATACCCAGCACAGCGGACATGCTCGTGTTTTACTCCACCTTTGACAGTAAGTAACGAATAGAGATTCGTAGGATCTGTAGGAATTCTCATTAAATTTCAACTAATTTCAGAGTACTTCTCGTTTCGCAATGTGGAGGAAGGCTCCTGGTTCATACAGAGCCTGTGTCGGGTGCTCGATTCAACGGCCAACTTTGAGGCCCTGCAGTCCGAAGGCATTGATCTATTGCGTATGCTGACCGAGGTCAATCGGAGGGTGGCCTACGAGTATCAGTCGAATACAAAGAACGAGGCACTCAACCAAATGAAGGAAATGCCCAACTTTATGTCTACCCTAACGAAAACATTTCAGTTGCGCGTGAAGCGAAAGACCTAAATGACAATTGTTGAGTCAGCCAGCAAAGTGTGCAGTGCAACGATTATAAATTCCATATACATATATATATATATATATATATATATATATATATATAAATATATATATAAGCGATTTGTGTTAATAATAATGTTTGGCATTTGGTCTACACATTCAGGGGTGTATGTACTTATTTTCCGTATTTGTATCTGTAGCTGTGCATGTATCTGTATCCGTATCTGTATCTATCGATCGTGTTTCGCAGCACTTATCTGGAATTGCTCTAATTCCGCCGGGGGTGCGATAACGAGCGACTGTTAAAAATACACGGTAAAAGAAAAAGGTAAATAAATAAATGCAACTTAAAATTCAGTGTCATCGAGTAATGTTGCTTGTTCATTATTTATTTTTTATTTATTTTTTTTTACACCCACTCTGCTCAGCCTTTGTCGGCTTTTGTCTTGACTTTGTTGCATGTCATAAACACTGCATCCTTGTTCCTTTTCCTGCTGACATTTCATAAGGCACCACCCAAGCACCCAACACTGAGTCTTTTATTGTTGTTGTTTCAACAACCTTACTCCAAGTCAAAACTGCGTTTTATGCCCCCGGCAGATTGTCATTTAAAGGATTCATACGAAAAACTTACAAAGGAAAATTAATTATTTAATGTTTTGCTTATTTCAAATTCAGGCATAAGTCGCCTTTGCAAATAGCAAACTGCACGATTTGTCCTCAGTTCAATACTGAAAATACCAATATGTATTTTTTATTTGCTCTCACAAGAAAATTGATTTATTTTATGTCTTATCAGGCATCGATAACTGTGTGTTGAGCAATAAAGTTGGGCAATAGTTTAAGATTAAGACCGAAGTAACTTCTTTACAGAATGGATGTCCAATTAATTAAAGGTTTAATTGAATAGCTGAAATGAGATTTACATTAGTTTTACAGAAAATTCAAGTTAAATAAAATTTTATTTAAATAATAATTAAATCAATTCAATAATTTCAACAAGTTTGTCTCAGATTTATATTCAAAATGTGCCATAATGTGTATACTGTTTTTTGCTGCTCCGGCTTGACTTCGGCTTACCAAGTTTAACAATGTTTTTTCCAGTGTAAATATAGTCGCATAACTGCAGTTAGATTGCTAACAAATAGTCAGGCTCTAACTGAAGCTAGCTGGAGTCTCTGAGTTCCATTAGTCAGTTGCATTAAACATGCCACGTTTGCCGCACTTGGGTGCGCTGTGTCTGCTGCTGCGCCTGTGGCAAGTACTTGGCCTGGCGCCTCTCAAATTCAGCAGTGGGCGTGGCGCCCACTGCAGCCGCCTAGTTACAACCAGTGCGGCATTGCATTGGCTGGGCCTGTTGGCCATGTCACCGCTGTTGCTGCGCCAGAGTGTGGCCATCTACGAGACGACAAATGTGCAGCATTCGCAGCTTTTCAGGCACATCGCACTGGCCACCATGGCTGGCGATGTAGGCATCTCGCTGGCCATTCTCGGCGCTCACATCTGGCAGCGACGCCGGCTGGCGAAGCTGCTGAGCGGACTGGAGCGACTGCATCGCCGGGTCCAATTGAGTTGGGGAGCAACGGTGCTGCTGTGGGGCAAGCTGCTAATCTCGCTGTACGAGCTGCTCTGCAATGTGCCCTTCCTGCTGCAGAATGCCGCCAAGCTGCCCTGGCTGCAGTTGCTCGCCTACAGCGTTCAACTCTATGTACAACATGTGAGCAGCGTGTTTGGCAACGGTGTCTTTGGTGGCCTGCTATTGATCCTGGCCAGCATTCAGCAACTGGAGCTGCAGTGGGAACAGCTGGACAGCGATAAATCGCAGCAGGAGCGTTTGTTGCGACGCGAGCGTCGTTTGTTGCAGGTGTGCCTGAATTTCATTGGCGTCTTTCAGCTGGGCATCTTTCTGCTGGTAATTGGCAACTTCATTAACATACTGGCCAACATGTACGCCTACATGTCATACTTTGTGCAGCAGCACGGCATCCCGCTGACCATCTCCAACTACTGTGTGATTGTCGCCATTCAGCTGTACGCCATCGTTCTGGCCACTCATCTCTGCCAGGTGCGACACACTCGATTGCGTCGCCGTTGCCTCCAACTCTGCTATGTGCCACCGCAAATGACCAACGAACAGGTGCGCAAAAAAAAAAAGAGTCCTTTATTATGTACAGTCTTCGCTCGCTAACTAGAACCCAATTAATATCGCCGTTGCATGTTCATATATTTATTTAAATGCCATTTAACAGTGTTTTTTAAAGCACCTAATTTGAGGGTACAATTGCCTTAATTTTATGGAATTAATATGAAATGATACAAAGTGATTCAAGGTCATATTCGTAATTATCTACTCCGAAAATGGAACCATTAGATTAGATAAGATATTAGTTGTGAAACATAAGTTTTAGTGAGTTCGAACACGACTTATTTCAATCAAACTAGTAGTACATTATGGAGCTCATTTTTCATTATATAGTTCGTCTGATGAAATTCAAAAAGATTAAGTCGCCCGATACTGCTAAGTGCGATATGCATATACGATCTGAAGCTAAAAGACGTATATAACCAAAGTATTAAAAATATTAATAAAACTACAACTCCATTCTAAAGCTGCGGTCAAAATAATAATAGTGGAAATTTCAAAATAATACTTAAAATATTGTAAAAAAAAAATGATTTAAAAGTAGAGGAATCAAATATTTTTTGATTTGCAGAACTGAATTTATTCCTCATAATGAAGATTTTGAAGAGGTCATAGGTTTATTAAATGCTTTGAGAAGCAGCTGTACTAATATTTTGACCGCAACTGTATATGTATTTAAAATTAGCCTAGTAGAACCATAACTAAAGCATTCTTAACTATTTAGCGAGTTCTGTAAATATTTATTTGACTTCATCCATTTCTTTTTACAGGCCATGCTGCCCACCCCGCTGGTGTTGTGGCCCTTGGATAGTCTGGAGTTCTCCGTTTTGGGCCTGTTCACGTTGGACAACGCCTTTTGGCTGTTTCTCGTCTCGTATGCGGTGAATTTCATTGTCATCATTTTGCAGTTTACTGTGACCCATATGAAACATGGAAAAGCTTTTTAAGTGCGGTTTGTGCCTTTGCTTAGCGATGACACTAACCATACGCTGCGAGCGCCACCTATGTGTATAGTTCGACAAGTACGCGCACATTTTGCATTCGAGTTTTGAATTTAATCTTTTATTGCGTTTTTGGTGAAATGATAAACTGGATAAGAAAGTAGCCAAAAAATCAAGTGGCGCAACATTAATAAAACAACTGGCAGTGAATAAGACCAACTGCTTTTTGGTCAAACTATTCGAAATATTCGCAAGACTTAAACTATTTAATATGAATTATTTATTTGAATGCTTTGATTAATGTAAGCAATAATTATTTTGATATCTTAATGTTAATCGGAAAAGGCACAGATATATATATATTGTATCAGGCAAACCTGCTTTATTTCAATAAACTTAACCTTTTCTTCATAACAAACTCACAGCTAACAGTTATTTATTTGTAAACAAAAGCATTGAGAATCATAGAAGTAACTGGGAAATTTGACTGATTGATTCGAAATTCATCAGACACAAATGAAATTCAAATAATGCAAACAGATTCGTTTTCTCAAGAACACAATGTCTTTATTTCTTTCTCTAATCACTTCAAATTCGATGCACTTTCCACAGTGCCGTTTATCAAAATCAAAATAACTTGGCCAAAACACGTTTTTAAGCTAATAGCGCTTTTAGGCCAACAAACCATGTGAAATGAGCTCGTGTTGCAACATTTTTGAGCAATGCGCCGCAATCACAAATTGAGCATTAATTTTTGTTATGATTTTGGCAACTCGCAATTTGCATAGTCAAATTAGTTAAAGTTGACTGAGTTAACGCTTCTCTTCTTCCTCCTTTCACTTCTACAGCAGAACGGGTCGAGCAACCCTCGCATTTGGGCCACTTTTGCAACTTACCAACCACAAGTCTCAGGAGTCTCTGCTGGTCTTCGCACGCGCCAATTTTCCAAACCGCTGGGCGGACAATGACTGCCTACCTCCCCCTCCAACCCCACCAACACCCCTCGACAGTGGCTTCGATTTGAGCCTAAAGACATCAGCTCCAGTCAGGTGTTATGCAAAAGTCTATTAGCCACAAATGCTTGCAACTTGTTCAGTCTGCTCTTGACTTGATTGTGTTGCTGTTGTTGTTGCTGTTGCTGTTGCTGTTGTTGTTGGCCATGTTCGTTGCTTGTCTGTTCTTTGAGCACCGTTAAGAGACGCCTTTGCACTCGCTGCGTCTTCTGTTAACCAAGTCCATTCATCTGATGGGTCGATGGCAGCTTATAACATTATTGTTAGCGATTGTCGGAGATTTGTATTGTTGCTGATTTTTTTCTCGATTTTATTTATTTTTTTTTATTTTTTTGTTGTTGTTGTTGTTCATAGTTGCAGCTGCGCTTGGCTGCATCGTTGGCCCCCTGCTAACCAACTGGCCAACATGCCTTCGCTGCCACTATGAAAGGAGGCGTGTTAATGGCCAGCTCTACTCACACTGATGCTAACACCACATTTCATTGGGGCGCAACAAGCTAATGCTCTATTTTTGCGCTACACTCAGAAAAAAAATTACACTGAATTTGACTAAAATCAAGGATAAAGCTCAATGCGAGTATGTATCTTTCGAAAATCCCATGCTTTTCTTTCTTAACTTTTTCTAACATTTTCAGAAAGTATTATTTCTAAAAATATGGATGACCTTTAAAACAAATTATAATTAACATTTGACCTGGAGACAGCGAAAGACAGATTTAAAAAGCCTTTTTAATCTTAAGAAATTGCTTTTCATACATTTAAAAGCTTTTCAAAAAATACGAAAAAGCTTTCTAGTTCTTAAGGAGAGCGATTCTTTTCTCTGAGTGTATGCTTCTTCATTTTCTTCTTATAAGTTGACTGCGTGTTTATATTATGGTAATAAGTTTGGTTGTTTATTGTTTTTATTATTACAAAGCGGCAAAGTCAATTGCTATTTTAATGCTGTTGTTGCTGTGGCCATTGTTGTTGTTGTTGTTGTTGTAGTAGTTGTTGGCCGTTGGGATCGTCTTCCTTATTGCTTTACTTCCATTTACCTTTTCTTTTCACTTGATTTCTTTGCTGCTTACCCAAAACCCGAGCGCATTTCAAAAACAAAGCAGCAACGGTTTTTCAAAATATCTTGCCCTCTCTCTCTCTCTCTCTCTCTCACACACTCTGTCTGACTTTTTCTGTTTTTTTGTCTGTGAGCTGCTCTTGACCAGCATCCATAAGGAGCATCAATAGGCTTAACTGCTGCTCATTCTTTTGACCCAGACTGAGTTGCTCCCACCAGCGACTGCAAGATTTTCATTTTCCTGCATTTCCACTTGTCGCTGGAAAAACAAGTCGCATCATATGCTCAAATAGTAGACCACACTACTATTACCACCACCACCACTACCACTACTACTACTACTATTAACTTGTCTAGCTCGACTGCGAGCTGGCGACTTGGGCACATCATTCAGTTGCTTGTGAGGTGTTTACGTCGTCGGTTGTACGCGATGTGAGTGTGTTCGGGCCACAGTCGATTCGAATCCGCAGTTAACGCTTTTCTCTTGAAAGTCCAAAACTAAGACACCTAAGGATATTTCAGTGTCGTCAACATGCCAAAGGATATGTTTTCAAGTTTCGCTTATATAAGCTGCCTGTTTGCCTTCCTGATGTCCGTGGGAATGGAAGCGGCTCAAACGGGAATAGTGCAAGGCAAGTTTTTGGCCAAAATGTCGTTTTAGCCTTGTTCGCCAGTGAGTGTTACTAAGCGTATGTGTGTGTTGTGTGTTGTCTGTGTCTCTGTGTGTGTGTGTGTGTGTCTGTGTGTGTTAGAGAGTTGTGCGTGCAACTGCGAGCCGATTTGTCAAGTCAGACGTCTTTCGTCTTTTGTCTATCTTATTGTTGTTGCTTCAATGCATTAACCAACTTGTTTGTCTCGTTGGGGCTATTGGTGAACCGTTAAATAACCCGGATTTCAAATCAAAAATTCGTAAATTTACATTTATATTGAGGCGACAGTTAAATGAAGCAGCATCGTTGCAGTGTGCCAATTGTTTAATTTGTGGTCACTTTGCTGATGCAACTTGTGCCACAACCAACAACCTGCTCACCCATTTCCTAACCAGCTCCTGAATTGCTCGGCAACACCTTTAACACCGTCAGAGATCGCCCCAAAATTATGGGTAAACAAGTCGCAAAACTTGTCATGAAGAACTGGCGGCACTTAAAGAGTTCCGCAACGTTCTCATTAAATGTTAATTTATATATATGTGTGTGTGTGTGTGTGTGTGTTACCTGGAAAAATATAAACACTGGCCGCTTGAACTTAATTCTTAAGTGTTCCAGACAAGTGAATGGGATGCGAGTGTTTAGCATAAACGAATTCAAATTATATATAATTTATGTTTAATGGGAGCATTGACAGTGAATGTGTGATAAGCTGTGGAAAATTAAAAATAAAAAACATCACACGCACTATGTGAACTGGATCTGTTTAACAACTATGACATATGATCATCAACTGTGACAGTTTTACATAAACTAATTCAATGTGATCATCAAATAAATCAGAAAGCAATTATTGATGTCATATGCAAGTGGCTGCCAGCTGTAAATTGCACAAACGAATAAAATCATAAAAATAATAATGAAAATATTGTACGCTGAGTAAAAAACGATTTAATCTCAGGAAAAACAACTTTCCTTTGAATCTATCAATCAAATATATTTTGTGCCACATGAGTGGTCATTAAAAAATGTATAATAAGCTTAAAATATTAATAAAATCGAACTGAATAATTTTTGGATTAAACTTTGCGTCTGTTGTGAATAATATTTCCGACTACTTCTCATTCAATTTATTTATAATGACAAATGAGTGCAACGACTTTGATATAAATTGAGAAAAATCATTTGAATAATTGAAAGCAGCTTTACTTATTCACCATTTCTTTGGATGTATGAATTTAATAGCTTGTGTGAAAATTGAGTTTTAAATTCGTTTCGGAGCCAAAATCTCGGCACTGGCAACTCCCCCAAAAAGTTGCCTTCTCTGCATTTCCGGCGCAATCAGGCTTTGTGGCACAACTGCGAAGCAACATTTGCACATGAAATGCATATATATATATAAATATATATATATATATATATGTATATATTTATATTTGTTTGTGTGCTTGGCAAATAATCAGAGTTCACACCGAAACAAGCTAGAAACTGCAAGTAAATAGAAACTGCAACTCACATTGCAATCTCTGGCATCAGCAACTGCATAGTACACAAATATATATATATAGAAAAAAAAAACATGAAATAAGACTAACAATAAAGAAGTAAAGCCTAAGAAACGATTGTGAAGATTTCACTCCAGCAATAACAAGCAGCAGCAACAACAATAAGCAGCCAGACAAAAAGACAAAAAGACAACTCAAATAATAGTTTCTCGCCGTGTACTAGATGTTCCGAAAAAATGTCAGAAAGTCAGCCACTGAGGCAGTAAGTCAGTGAAGACAAGACAAGGCACAAGACACCCAAACTCAGGCTGACAACCCAACAGCAACTGCGACAACTCGTCACTCGAAGCACATTTGGTAGCTGCTGCAGCGCTGCACTTGCAACAATAACAAAAACAACAACAACAAAACTGAAACATGTCTAATTATGTCATGAGGGTGGGAACTGAATTGCGAGCCTTAACGCAAAAATAATTCGCTGATTGCAGTCGGGCGTCCCAAGATGAGAGATGGCAACAGCGGCAGTTGAATGTTGAATGCATGTTGGAAAAGTGTTGCAACTGCTCATGAAAATCACAGCAGCTGAACGAAGAACGTGACGGGGAGCGATGGGAGTGAGGGGGGTGTGACTTGCAGCAGGTAGGCGTGTCCACGCCCAGCCACGCGACAAACGTAGAAAGTTTTGGCTAGTCGTTACCAGCAGTTACTCCAACAACCAACAACAACAATTGGCCCAAAGATTCGCTTCGCACGTTGCCTTATGGAGATTTTCAATTGTTTTTTTTCCGTTTTCGGTTCTCAGCGCTCAATTAGCATGCCAAATAAAAGAGAAACAGTGTAGATAATTTGTCATCGTATTTTTTTATTTTTTTGGTTTTTGTTTTTGGTCGGTCTCTAATATTTAACTATTATCTATAACTGCTCCACTTTAGCCAGCTCGGCCAGCTGCGCCTTCCACTCGCTAGATGGCGTTGCGGCGGAAAGTGAAGGTGTTCGCTTCATACGGCTCCGTGAGGATGCTCAGGTGGGCAAGGAAATTCTTAGACTGCAGGCCTATCCACGCTCTAGTGTCGCCCTCAAGGGCGCCGATGCCACCGGCGATCACAAGTACTTCAATCTAACGGAACACAATGCCACAACTCTCGTGGTTAGCCTGGCGCGTTCTCTGGAGCGTCTCGTCGATCGGGATGTGCCCAGGAATCTGCTCAAGTTTCGCATACTCTGCGCCGGCAAGCACGAGAAGCTCGAAGAGGTGCGCTTAATTTGATTTCTTTCTAAGGCTTAGTTTAGATTAGATTAACTTCTCTTGGAATTAAATCAATTTCCAATATATTCTTTTTTTTTAATTTGCTTAGCTCACTCAAAATTTATAAGCTCTTCCTATTAAAAATTATAGCTAAATTGTGGGTTGTGATGATATATCTTTCTCAGCATGGATTACGCCGTCATTGTCTTTCTCTTTCTCTCTCTCTCTCTCTCTTTATCTTTATCAATATCTCACTACTTCTCTCAACTTCAATTCCCATCGAAAATTACCAAGTTATCTGAAAAGTTTTTACATTTTTCTACCCATAGGGCAGCTATCTTTCCATCACTGTCTACATAGAGGATGTCAACGATAATGCACCCGAGTTTCTCAATGTGCCCTATGTGGTTGATGTGGATGAAAATACATCGGTTGATAGCATCATCTTTGATGGCGTGCAAGCATTTGATCGAGATAAGCCCAATACGCCCAACTCGGAGGTGCAGTTCACCATGTCCACAGTTCCAGAACAGCTATCTGCAGATGGTAGACCATATTTTATACTAAAAAGTCCGCATCGACCGTTGCTTATACTTAAGCGAGAGCTGGACTTTGATAATGGCATACGTCAGTTCAAGTTGCCCATCATTGTCTGGGATCGTGGGACGCCCGCCAACCAGGCGAACACCACGATCACCATCAATGTTCGGGATGTGGATGATCTGCCGCCCAAGTTCACTGAGGGTGTCTATCGCACCAGGATCAACGAGTTCTATCCGATGACAGGAATGCCCGTACGTATTCCGCTTTACTTTGCGCCACCGATAATGGCATTCGATCAGGATTCACTTAATGCCACACTCGTGTATGACATCATTTCGGGGAATGAACGGCAGCTGTTTCGGGTTAATGCCCACAATGGGGTTATGTATCTGCAGAAAGAGATCGATCTGGAGGAGGAGAGTCTGCCAGGAAACACTTTTGTGGTTCAACTAGAGGCTAGACAGAAGGATAATCCACTGAAGAAAGCCCTAGCACGGTGAATATTGCTATTCATATGCAATTATCTAACTATATACTAAATACTGATTGAAATTCTTTTCCCCAGCATCGAAGTGGAGGTGCTCGATTTGAACGACAATGTGCCCGAATTCGAGGCGGATTTCTACAATATATCCATTGTGGAGAATCTGCCCACTGGCTTCAGTGTATTACAGGTGAATGCCATTGATCGAGATCAGGGTGAAAACTCCGAGTTCGTCTACAATCTTGTGGAGAACCAAACAGCTTCGGGTGCATTTCGCATTGACTCGCGCACCGGCTGGATTACAGTGCGCGATGATCGATTGCTCGATCGGGAGCAACGCAGATCCATTCAGCTGAGAGTGGAGGCACTGGAACGTAATCCCTCCTATCTCGACGATAAGCATCTGAAGGCACCGGGTCCCAATATGGTGCGAGTGGACATCACACTGCTCGACAGCAACGACAACAATCCCAAGTTCGATCATGGTAATTTATTCGAGTTCAAAGTGCCTATCACAGCAGCAGTGGGCTCGAAAATTGGTCGGGTGGTCGCCCATGATCCGGACGAGGGACCCAATGGTCAGCTACTATATGAGTTACAGCGGCCCAAGGGCAGCGGCTATATACCCTTTCGATTGGACAACAAAAATGGCACTATCTATGTGGCTGGACCTTTGCGACGCGGTCGCATTGCGGTATTTGTGGAGGCCAGTGATCAGCCAACGAATCCCTCAGAGCGTCGCTTCTCCTTGGCTGTGATCACCATTGAGGTGTATGCAACCATCGATGATCAGGCCATTGATTTTGTGGGCGCACCCTATCAGTTTTGGGTGGGAGCAAATACACCGCTGGGCACATCGGTGGGTCAGGTGCGCACCACACTGATATACGATGGTGAGGATGAAATAATGTACGATCTTTTGCACACATATTCGGAGGGTGTACCATTTGCCATCGAGGAGAGATCCGGCATTATCACAGTCATCCGCGAGTTATCCGAATTCAAAAGGCAAATCTATAATTTTGAAGCAGTGGCCAACTATGTGAGTAGGAACCAGAAATGCAGAAGTATGAATTGTATGTATGAACTGAAGTGGCTTCAATTACAGCTCTTTGCCAATTCATCGCAGCCGTTGGTCGTGTCACGCAGCTCACCTCCGCTGACAACAGCAGCCTCCCCAGAGCTCAACGATGAGGGTGTCCTGATAACGAACCTAACCATACACATAGTAAGCAAGCCAGCGCCGGACAAAATTCCACTGCGACCAGTCATTGAGTGAGTATAAATTTTAGTTGACATTTTTATAATCAATTTGTTGTCAGTTTAAATGTTATCAGCCAGCTGATAAATATTTGTTATCAATCAGAATTAACTTGAATCAAACTTTTTCACCCGTCTAAAAAATACATATTATCAATCAGAATTAACTTGAATAGAATTAATTTATCTGGGTTTAATATTTGACTTGCAGAGAAATCAATATGAATATCATCAACTTCCATGTGGAGGAGAATCTGGTGGGTGGCATTATTGGACAACTGCTCTACAAGAATGCCCTGAATGTGGCCAACAATGAGTTGGGAAGCTTTCGCGAACTATCCGCAGCTGTGGGAAGTGCCAATCTTACCACGGGCAGTCGCTATCGGAGTCGCAATCGCAGTCGTAGTTCGAAGTCCAAGCGGCGACTGCCGCGGCGCCTGGCGGGGGACTCAAATCTGAAGCTGCGCTACATTATAGCCAACCAGCAGGAGGTGATCAATAAGATAACTATCACCGAAGATGGTACACTTCTGACCCTGATTGGTTTGGATCGGGAGCAGCAGGACAGCTATGAGTTGACAGTGATTGTGGAGTACAGCACGGGTCTGGTGAGCGGAGCTGGCATCTATCAGGTCAATATCAAGGTGGACGATGTCAACGATAATGCACCCAAATTTAGTGCACTCACATACGTCGGCCTAATCAATGAGAACTGCGCTCTGGGCACCGAGCTCTCCATGAATCAGGCCATCCAAATCAACGACGCCGACGAGGGTCCCAATGCTGAGTTTCGCGTCCAACTGCAGGGTGACTACAGCGATCAGTTTAGCATTGAGTATGTTAATTCAAGCATTGGGAGTAATAGTAGCCAGCACAAGCTGCCACCCAGCACGGGTGCCTTTAACATATTCAATCTGACCGATCAGTGGAATGATGAGTTCAAGTACCAGGAACTGCACACCTCGTTCATGCAGTCAAATTTCAAGCTCAGCACTGGTCCCTATTTTCGTATCAGCTATTCGGGCAAGCGGGGTCTGGATAGGGAGAAACAACAGCTCTACAATCTGAAGATTGTGGCCGCGGACATTGGGGGACTGTCGGGCTATGCGCATCTCACCATTCTCGTGGCGGATGTCAACGATAATGGACCCATATTCGAGCGCATTTCGGTGTTCAAGGATTCTCGCTTGGAGATACGCGAATACAATACGGATATGGAGATCTACTTTGTGGAGAGCTCAAATGGCATGGTACTGCCACCAGCTGGTGCTGGTTCCATGATGATGGCGCCACCAGCTTACCACATACCCGGCTCGCCGAGATTACACACGGAGAGGGAGAAGGCTCGCAGCGTTGGCGTTGGCGTTGTTGGTCGAGCTAAATCACGACGTCGGATGGCACGCGGCATCCCGATAAAATGTCCTTTATTCGCCATATATGAGGACACGCCGGTGGGGGCCAAGCTGCTGCAGCTAAGTGCCAGCGATGAGGATTTCGGTCGAAATGCCCAGCTCCACTATGAGCTGCTGGGCGAGCAGGTGGAGCGATCACCTGGTATGCCAATGATCAAGCTGCATTCCGTACGCCACTTTGCCATTGACAAGTTGAGTGGCGAGGTAACCGTTAACTATCCCTTGGCAGCTAACATTGAGATCTGGCTGAATCTAAGCGTAACCGATATAGATGGCTTAAGGGATTCCACCTGCGTGCGCTTCACAGTCATCGATGTGAACAACCATGTGCCGGCCTTTAAGAAGTCCTGGTACAGTTTCGACACAGCCGAGGGTGACTACAAGGACAGCGTGCTGGGTCAGGTGCTGGCTATTGATATGGACTATGGTGAGAATGCGAATATAACGTATTCGCTGGGTGATCAGCAGCTGCCTTTTACTGTGAAGCCCACCTCGGGTGTGCTCAAGATAAACGGGCAACTGGATCGAGAGCTGCGGGCCAAGTACAATTTCCACGTGATCGCCAGCGATAATGCGGAGCCCATGCATCGTCTGTCGAGCAGCGTGGATGTGGAGGTGAATGTGCTGGATATCAACGACAATCGGCCCGAGTTCATTGGCTACGACGACCAGGCCAAGGCGGTCAAATTTATAGCCGACCTGGTGGATCGCACAATGATGGTGCCCGTCTATAAGGCGTATCTGGATCGCAGCACGCTGCCGGGCATGTTTGTCAAGCAGGTGACTGCCATTGACAAGGATTATGTGGGCAATGGCAATGGACTGGTGCTCTACTCCATACTGCATCAGGAGCTGCATGCGCCCGTCTTTCAAATAGACTCCCGCGACGGCACCATTACCACGGTGTCCAACATTCGTGGCTACAATGACTATGAGCACATGAATGTGTCTGTTATAGCCTCGGATCTTGGCAGTCCAGCGCTTTCCGCCACAGCAGTGGTCCTCATCAATCTGCAGGGTCAGGCAGTGACGGAGCCAACGGCGGCACCCAAGCCCGAAATTCCGATCAATGTGACCATCTTCCAGCACTCCTACTACGATGTCCAGCTGACGGAGAACAATGAAGCGCCTATCGAGGTAATGCGTCTTAATCTGACAGCCGGCCTGAATGCCGAAAACTATCGCTGGTCGCTTTGGCTGGAGGAGGGTCTCGACGAGTCGGACGCCCATCCACCCTTCGAATACGATGCCAAGAATATGCTGCTCTATGCCCTCAAACCCTTCGACCGGGAGCATATCGCACGCTATCAGCTGCGGGTTCGCGCCGATCGCATTAGTCGCGAGGCACGCAACTATGCCAGAGTCTCCTATCCGGTGGTGGATGAGCGCGTCGAGGGACTCTCGCTCAGCGAGTGCCGCATCCTGGTGCGCATCACAGATGAAAATGATAATTCACCCAAGTTCCGCGGCAATGGCCAGCCAATTGTGGCCGTTCTGCCACGCAGTGCTAGCTTTGGGTATCATGTAACCCGTGTCGGTGCCGAGGATGCAGACGAGGGACTCAACGCGGAGATACGCTATCGTCTGTTGAATGAACCCACTCGCCTGTTTGGCGTCGATGATCTTACGGGCAACATTCGCCTACTGGGCGATCTACCGCTGGACGAGCGCATCTACGGTTTCGATGTGAAGGCCACCGATCGCATGGGTGCCGACGATGGACGCAGCGGCATTGTCAATGTCTTCGTCTACATCATAGACGAGGCCAAGCAGGTGCGTCTCGTCGTGGCCGGCAAGCCGGTGGATGTTGAGCGGCGCATCGATAGCCTAATGGAAGCACTAAGCGGCGCTATTGGAAAAGATGTTCGAGTTCGTCTGCTGGAACCGAATTCAAGCGGAACCGAAGTGGCGTAAGTTTAAAGCAAATGTTTAAAGCAAATGTATGTATATGGAATCGAAGTAGTCTTCAACACATATTAAGCACGCAAAAATTGTATACTAAGTTCGTCGCAAGGCTCCAAATTGAAAACATCTAATTCAGAATTTCCAAAAGCGTAATAAATACTAGAACTCAGAAAATTTAAATGATAAATTTAACATGTTTGTGCCCTTGTAAAAATTTAGTATCCATCTATCTATGCATATGCATAGTATCTATCATAATATGCATATATAATAAGTGTTATCGCATTAGAGAGTTTAATGCCATCTATTAGAATATATATTTAATTATATTTCATATAAAAAGATTAGGCATATAATCATTCTATCAGAAAAATGCTAGATGTACGAGTTAAAAGTGGTTGGGGTTGTCTAATCCACTTGAATTTCTAATAACGTTCTGTATTCTGTTCTTGTGTCTTTCTGTTGGGCAGCACTAATGCCTACATCTATGCCGTGGATCCACACACCAATTCAATTGTGGAAATGGAGCAGCTGCAAGAGTAAGCAATTCAAATGAACCACCAAAGGCGATATGTGGAAATGACATGTATAATATTCTGTTTGCAGATCCTTGGCCGGCTTACAGTTGGATGCCTTGCAGCTGCAGCAGCTGCAGCAGCAGCATGTGGACAGCAGTATGGCTATGCCGCGAATCATCGAATTGGCCGAGTTTGGGCAGGCACCGCGACCCACGCACGCATCCAACTCCAGCTATGTGGGCGGCCTGGAATTTGTGACTCTGGTGCTGCTGGCGCTGATCAGTCTGGGTGCCATTATAGCCGCCTGTTGCTATCTATGCCTGCGACAAAAACGGTAAAAGAAATTAATACACAACACACACACACACACACTGCTGTGCTGAAAGACTGTAGCTCAACGATATATTTAAATATATGCATATATATACGTAATATAAAGCACATACTTAATCTAAGGCCGTCAAATAAATCCTGAAGATCGAATGCTTTAGTTGTTGTTGTCGTTGTTGTTGTTGTTGGTTGGTTGTCTAGTGGTGCAGTGAATAACCGGCTACTGTTACTGCTCACCTGCCCGCTGGAAATCTAACTGTAAAAAAAAAATACTTACAAGCCAACAACAACAACAACAGCAACCAGAGACATCAAATCAGCTGCTGGCAATTAAGCTTAGCTCTCCGAATGTGTTGACAACTGCAACTCAAATGCGGATTCGGAATGTGAAATGTGAATGTCGTCAAAGCCACTCAATAAACCATTTATATTTACTTAACAGCCAGCTGTGGTCACAGCGCGACTTTGCCGCCTCCGAAGCCGGACTCACCTATACAATAGCCGGCATCAACCAGTCTCGCACGCAGCAGCGACGCCAGCGCCAGCTGCGGCACAATCAGCGCTGCAGCAAGGGCGGGAGCAGCAGCAACGGGCAGCGCCCGACAAGCGCCTTCATGCCCGAATCGGTGTGCTCCTCGGCTCAGACGCAGTCGACAGCAACGGCCACGGAGAAACTGGAACAGCAGCTGCACCAGCATCATCAGCAACAGGCGCTGGTCACACAGCAACAGCATCATCAGTACCTGAACGAGTGAGTAGATCAGAGTAAATCGAGGTGATGTCGCTGCCTTGCAGAACTGGTTCAAATTACAGTGATTCTCTAATCCCAGGCAGCAGCAGTGCCAGCGGGAATATATAGATGTGCCGCTGCCCAAGTCCATTGCCAAGGCGGCAGCGGCAGCAGCAGCAGCAACTACTGCCGATGGCAATGCTCCATTTGTGCTCAAATACAATTCCTGTCAGCCAGTGAACAACCTGTGAGTATCACTTGGAAAGATATTAAAAAAAAAGCCAACAATACCATGTACGCTCTAAAAAGAAGAAGAGAAGCCGAGTCGATATAGTCATGGTCTGTTTCTATGCAAGCCAGCCGCCAATACATATATTGGAGCTAGACAGATCGGATCACCATATCATATAGCTTTCCTAGGAACAATCGTTTAATTTCTCTAATGTTAGCGATGTTTAAATGTCGGCAATTTAACTCCGTTCTTTCTTAAAACACCAAAAGCCGATTAATCTGTTTGTCCGTTGATTAATTTTAATCTTCAAATACTTCGCCGATATTATGTTCATATTTCATACTTTAAAGCTTTTGTTTAAAATATTTCGACTTATCTACAGGAAATTCAGAGCAAGTTTTTATTTATTGTTTGGCTATGGAAGTTGTTTAAGAATCGGCAAGAGTACAGGGTATATGGCAGCGAGGTACACTCAACTTGAGCACTAAGCATTTGATTAATTGAATCATTTTAGTAACAATTATGAAACGTCGCTTTTCTCGCTGCACTCCACTGGCCAGGATTCGGGCGTGGAGTTTCTCAGTAGTCGTGAGCTGTATGAGACATCGCCTGACTCCTTTCAGCACGGCAGCTCCAAGCGTGCCAGCAATGCGGAGCTGCTCTGTCCCAGACATGCCAAAGCGCACATGGAGCTCCGCCAGAATCCACACACGGACAGCAGGTTGATGTTAAAGATTACTTATTGATCATACATGCTAACAATTTTGTTTGTTCTTGCCGCAGTGATACCTACGAGGACTCACTGAAAACGGATGAGCCGCTGGTGACGCACAATTGCCGCACTGGCAACTGTGAGCATCGTACGCATCTTCAGCATCAGCATCCGAATCCGCATTATCAGAACACCAAGTTCGAGAAGCGCTCATCCTGTGTGCGTCATTCGTTTTCGGGCGTCAAGGATGATTTAATGCAGCATTCGCCACAAATATCACTACGTCCACGGGGACACGCGCTGCGCAACTCGATGAATGATTTGGAGGAGCGGTTACATAACCTGGAGCAGTCGTTTCGACGTCCGCTCGAGTTTAGCAAATCGAACTCATTGTTTTAGTTACTAAGTAAACCAAGTGCAATGTTTAGTGTGTAGTTAAAGAATCAAGTGCAATAAAATAAGCTTTCTTTATTAGAAACAGAATTCATATTTATCGCTTAATTGACAAAATACTTGCGAAACTCGAGGCAACCCGACCAGTTGACATCCCAGCCGGGAGTTACTTGCTTGGCCAGATCGTACCATCTGGCCACATTGCCAAAGCGCTTGTAGTCAAAACCTGCCACATCGAAGGAGGAAACAGAGGCCAGCAGGGAAATATCAGCCAGGGTTAAGCTATCGCCAGCAGCATAGCTTTGACCCTCCAGAAATGTGTTTAACAACTCAAAGGCAACCACAATTTTCTGGTGGTGCTGCTCATTTGGCGGCTGCTTCAGAAAGATCTGCGGATAGTAGTAATCAGCAAAGCTCTTGTATAATGTGCCCATATCAAAGTATAAGCGTTGATTGATCAGCGCTTGCTTCTGCGTATCTTTCGGGTATAAGGCGTCGTCCTTGGCATACGCCTCCACTAAGTAGACCATTATGGCACGCGATTCCCACAGTGAGAAGCCATTGTCCACAAGTGTGGGTATGGTGTGTTGTGGATTCAACTTCAAATACTCCGGCTTTAACTGGTCTCCGGCCCGCGTGTTGATGAAAATCAGCTTATCAAATTCAACACCAATTGCCTTGGCCGTCATAATGACCGCTCGACAGGGCGCAGATCCGGGTCGATAATAGAAGTCCATTTGCCTACTGTTAGAGGCGCGTTAATAACAAAAAAAAAATAAATAAAAAACATTTCGCTTCAATCAAAAGCTGTCACAAAGCGACTAAATATAATCAAACAAACATACAAAGAAACCCAGCCAAGCATAGCCATCATTTCGAGTAATCACTTTCTTTGGATGACATAATAAATGTCAGAAACCAAAATGTATATACAACTTGTAAATGTAGTAAAAGTATTACCTGTTTTTGGGTTTCTCGTTGAGCTGTTTTTCTAATAAATAGCCGCAAGCCACTGAGCTGTCGGAGCTTCTATGAACATATATACTGCAAAGGTACAAATAATGACTTGGGCAAGGTGATAATTGGCAAAATTATTGTTTTTAGATTCGTCAAAGAGAAAGACTGGAACTCGACTCTACATAATGTGTCAATCAATTTAGCACTCTTTAAATTAAAAAAAAATGATTCATTTTTTGTTCGTTTTCATTGTTATATTTCAAATTTCAGGTAATCACTGCTGTTGAGTGCGAGCTTTACAAAAATAGCTATTTTATATCTAATCGCTTGCATGTTTGTTGTCAACTACATGATGCTATCAGCACCCTACATATAAACTCTGTCCGCAAATGACCCAATGACATTAGTAACACTGATTAGATAAAGTTGTGCGAGTCGTTGACTATATGAACCTTTATATAATGTTTATTGTGATAACAAGTACCTAAGATTCTATAGATAATTAAAATCATTCAATCAAGCGCCTCTCGTGTTGTTATCTTAAAGCAACTGTGAATAGCAATAATAAATATAGCTCACCAGATAATGCATTATGATTATGATATTTGATACCCACAAAGCAATATCACCATCAACCATCTGTGGCAATAGCGATAGGGTATACAGAACAATAAAAACATTGCCTATTATCAATTTCCAAATTCAATAATTGTAATTTAATTTAAATTTGATATAGCCGATTGTAAAATTCACTTTTATTTTTATACATTCCTAAACATTTTACTTTCACTACAGGTTTCTAAGCTTCCGATTAATAATCGTATTTTTTCCGCTTACAGTTATATGTTAATTTGTAGCAAGTCTACGAGTGCGTCCCTATTAGTATTACAGTGTTGACTTGCATACATACATATACTAAAAAATAAATCATTTTCTTCACATTTTATTTGCAATCGCAAACTTCCTGTTTACTGCCTCGACTCATGGCGACTGTTTTGAAATATACCGGCCGGCATTCAACGAGAGAGAGATAGACAGAGACAGATATAGACAGAGAGAGAGAGAGAGAGATAGAGAGAGAGAGAGAGAGAGCGACTGAGATAAAGGCCTTGTACAGCACCCAACAGAGCAAGTTTATTTTTCCTTTTACAAAACGACAAATAGCTTGAAAGACAGAGAGAGAAAGTGCACAGATATGTACATGTGTCATGTGCATCTGTATGCGGATACACTCAATATAAATTTAAGAGCACGCTCGAACACAATTGAATTGAATATGATTGTCAGCTCTCTCTTTTTCCCCCACACATATTTTATAATTTATGGCAAACTCATATTGTCCAAGTTGCAAGCACAAATACAGTTAGTTGTTGTGCCCATAGATTAGTCAATCAAAGCCATAAATATAATCTCTTATATTGTATTCAATAAAAATGAATACACTTTTATTATAAGAAAAAAGTTTCTTTTGCATATCAGCAAATTAACACACAACATTTGATGAATTCAAATCTTCATTTCCTGTCATTTCGTGATTAAGTATGAATAAATTATTATATAAAATATAATACTTCAATAAAGGAATAAGGCTTATTCAAAGTATTTCTTGAACTCCAAGCATCCAGCCCAGTTCTCATCCCAGCCGGGAGTCACCTTCTTGGCATTCTGGTACCACTTGTTCACATTTTCGTACTTGCTGATGTCGAAGCCAGCCACCTCGAATGTGGACACAGTGGCGACCAAGGCAATATCGGCAATTGTCAGTGAATCACCAGCAACATAGTTCTGACCCTCCAAGAAGGTGTTGAGGAACTCGAAGGCAGCCTCGATTTTTTTGAAGGCCTCCGGATCGGCGGGCGCCTTGGCGAACACCTGTGGATAGTAGTAGTTGGCGAAGCTCTGATACAGAGTGCCCATGTCGAAGTACAGTCGCTGGTTGATGACGGCACGCTTCTTGGGGCACTTGGGGTACAGAGAGTCGGTCTTGCCGTACTTCTCCACGAGATAGACGAGGATGGCACGCGACTCCCACAGAGCGAATCCATTGTCCACCAAGGTGGGAATGGTGTGCTGAGGATTAATCTTCACGAATTCAGGCTTCAGATGCTCGCCAGCCTGCAGATTGAGCAACTTCTTGTTCAAATCAACACCGACGGCCTTGGCGGTCATGATGACGGAGCGGCAGGGCGAGGAGCCGGGCAAATAGTAGAAGTCAGCCATTTTACTATAATTAGAAAAGCACAAAAAAAACAACTGACGATTAGACGACACGGTCCATAATTTCAGACAAAATGAACAGCGCAAAACATGTAGTTGTTTTTTCTCTTTAACTATTTAATGACTATTGTTTTTAACTTTTTGCTTTTTTATTCGTTTCTTTACAAGTTCTTTGCCACACACAAACACAAGGGCACTATTATATACATATATATACATAAATATATATATATATATATATATTAGGTATATATTTTACACATAGACACTTACTTTTTGGATTGTAGTTGGGACGCGACGCACTGAACCAAGTATCAAGCAACACTGATGGGTTTCTGGAGAGCCGGTCAGCTTTTATAGACGTCGGCTGTATCAGAATCGCGAGCGCACGAGCGAGCAGCCAGCCCGAAATGTTAATGCCATAAAGACGGCAAACAAACTTGACGGAATTTGTGGATCGTGGGGAGCATGTACATACACATATACCCATATATATATGTATGTACATAAGTGAGATTAAATACAAAGCAAGCGACCATAAAGAGCGACTACCAGCAGCATTAGTTCATTTCGCGTGTTTGCCGTTGCTGTCGTGTGTGTTCGTATGTATGTTTGAATATAGCTTTGTCTTTATGCACACACAAATATAATATGCATGGATTATGTATATACATATGAACATATATATATATATATATATATATATCAAATTTATAAAGTCTGTGCTGTGAGGCTGGCGTACGAATATAATCAAAATTGTAGCCAACAACAAACACCTGAGGCATGCAGTAGTAGTATACCCTTCACTTGTGGTGCCACAGAAAGCCGCCACTTTCTAATGAACTCGTTGCACCACATTGTGGATCGGCACAATATCAGAAAAGTCATTTTGCCGCTCAGCGCTCTCAGCTCATTCTACCCGTTTACTAATTTATTCACATACAGTTGTATTTTTTTTTTTGGCATTCATTTCTGTTTGCTGTACGTGCTCAAATTTTGTTTAGAATTCCCTTTTATCCCCACTCTATACGTACATTTGTATGCAGTTATTCATGTATTGGTATACACATATTAGAAATAATACAATATTCTATTACGTACATACATTATAAATATTTTTGCTCACTGCTTTTGAGTGAATTCTTTGGTAATTTTGCAGCTGTCGATTCGAAGTTGAAGCACTTGACTCTTGATTTGAAAATAATCAGGCAGCTGTTTGTTGGAACCAGCACAATAACTTACAAATACAGTCATATAAATTGCATCTGTATGTGTGATTATTTATGTATATACTCTGCGCAGAACTGTATGTAATTACTTACCACTCTTTAAGATTGTTGCGATTAATAACATGTGTATGTATTACAATAAATGTAGACTTATGATCAACTTACCAATGACCTTCAGCAGTTCAAACATGCATATTATATTATATATATGTATCTATATATATATTTATATCAAGCTACCCACACCATTAGCATATAATCGATTGAGAGTAAAAGCGTTCGGGAAAGGAATGTAAAATATATATGTACACACATACAAACAATATAAAATATACCAAGTACATTTGTTCAAGCTTTGCGCGAATACATATGTATATATCTCTTTCTCTATGTAAGTTTCTAATTATTGGTTTGCTATTAAGGGTGACCAAAGCGGTAAGTCAACAATGAGTGAGTTGAGCCACAACAGAAATGTACCCTTGCTAGAAACTACAAATATTCATGTTACCTATTTACGAAGTGAAGTCACGCAAAATGTCCTGAAATTGTAATAAAAGCAAACATTTCGTCTGCATTGACATATTTAGTGATTAGAATGCATGCCTTATTTTCTTGCCTTGTAATTATTTGAATGACCATCGAAAAGCCAAAGAGACTGCCCTTTACTGCTCAGGACATAATTGTGGACGCAAAAGTAATCAAATACACTAAAATAAACCTGTAATAAGGTTAAATATTGATTAAAATTTGATATTATCATAAATAAGCATGTTTATGCTGTGGAAAGTAAGTCAATGATGAAATACACAAGTTGTCAAGCACTCAAAAATAAGTGACTTGCACATTATTTGTAAATAACACTCGAATATTCTATGAACATCACGATGTACTCACAAACATTTTGTAGTTTTTATCAGTTTGTAAAGTTTATTATCAGCATGACGATGCAAATATACTTAATTATAAACAACTGAAGCATTTCGCTGCTCTCTTTGGTACACGTCAGTGCTCAAACGATGCGTCAGTTTAAAAGAGCAAACGACTGACAAATTTTGCATGCCATCGGTTGAGAGCGCTCAGTTTAGTCACTCTCGGAAAGACGAGATTATTCGAAGCATTGAGGCAACCCCAAATCACTCTGTAACATAGCACTACATGACGACAACTTACGCATTTGTACATAAATTCACAATTCGAAGAAGAGATAAATATAAGAAGTTCCTAGCATAACAAGTGGTTGGGATTTTACGCATTGATGTATGACGAAGAGCATGAAACATAGAAAAAGTCACGGTGTCTACGTGATAGACAGCGTTCAGATGACTGGAGAACCAGTTTGCCTACATCGACGACGCACGTCTCGGATTGAAGATACCCTGCACCTTAATCTGTCATAGATTTCCTAAGGTAGTTTGGTAATCGATTTTGTACCAATTTTTCGAGAAACGGGTAGACATAGCTCGTATAGTTGCAAGCAAGCGGGAATCTGTAGATTGAATCTACTGCTACTACTGCCTATTACCACAGAAAGGTATATCTCGATAGTAAATACATCTATACGATTCATAATATGCTATTTGCTTATCGGCGTGCAGGGTACAAGAAGAATGAATATCAACAGCTAAGCAAAGAGCTTTGAGAAGTAAAGAGCCACTGGAAACGAAGAGATCTTATTAAGAGAAAAGAAAATAAATCTTCAACATATTTTACCTAGTACTCTGTAACTATCAAAGTGCAAAGATAAGGTATAAACAACTTATGTTTATATTTTTAGTAGACAAAAAATATATTTACCGCCTAGCATATACATATATATTATACTACATTTATTACCATTGAAAGACACAGACAAAAATACATTTAAAGTATGCAATTTAGTTAACTGAAAAGAGTATACATCTCGATTCCTCAATATTTGTGTTTCCACATGAATTTGGTGTACTACTACTACTACTACTACTACTACTGTAAAATATACATTTATTAAATGTCTCAAAAACTATTTCACAATGGAAACAGAGTTGACAATCGATATACACACAAGTTGTGAAGGGTATTATAATTTTGTCGTAAAGTTTGCTACGAATTAAAGAAGACGCAAACAAAGGATTTTAGTTTCAGTTTCGTGCTTGTAAAGCTGTGCTTAAGAGAGTTGATACATTCATAATATGTACTCAAAGTATCTCCTTATTAGGCGCTCTTGACTGGAATATTCTAACTTATCATTAAATACATTACACACGAGAGACAATGACAAAGCAATCTATCCAACCCACCGGCAGATAATGAGCGAATGGGGCAGAGCGATAACAACCAATTAATTTTGTTTTGTTTTTTTTTGGCTGAGTTCGCCAGGTCCGGCTGAGTATAATAGCTGGGTCAACTCGCAAGAGAATTCAGTTCACTCTTACACTCTGAAAGCGTTTGACACGAGCGATAATTTGAAATGGACTTTTATTATTCACCTGCTTCTCCGCCATGCCGTTCCGTCCTTATGACGGCTGCCGCATTGGGCGTCAAACTGAATAAGAAGTTAGTTAATACTAGCGAGCAACAGCATTTAACGCCTGAGTTCTTAAAAATCAACCCACAACATACGATTCCAACGCTCGTGGATAATGGATTCGGAGTGTGGGAGTCCCGTGCTATTATCGTATATCTGGCTGAAAAGTACGGCAAGGACGACTCGCTCTATCCCAAGGATCCCCAGCAGCGTGCGCTAGTGAATCAGCGTCTTTATTTCGATATGGGCGTGCTGTACCAGTCGTTCGTCGAATATTACTATCCGCAAATCCGATTCAATAAACCAGCAGATCCTGAGATGTACAAGAAGGTAGAATCTGCCTTCTCTTTCCTGAACACATTCCTGGAAGGACAGCAATTTGTGGCCGGCAGTAAACTGACGGTCGCCGATATTTCCATCGCGGCCTCCGTTTCAACTGTTACACTAATGGGCTTTCCCCTTAGCAACTATCCGAACGTGGCCAAGTGGTACGCCAATGCCGAAAAGGTGATTCCTGGCTGGAGTGAGAACCAAGAGGGTTTGATTAAACTGAAGGAGCGCCTTGAAGAAATGCGTAAGAAATAAATTATAAGCTGAAATATGTATTTCGCTAAAAATAAAATATTAATTATCAATTTAAGATGAAAGTATAATAAAAAGAAGTTGTTTGCATACACACATAAACTTATTCTATCCACACTCAAAATGATAGTAGTACTGTTGAACAAATTTTAAATGTAATCCCTAAATGGCAAATATATTAGACAAGTGTAGTTAAAAGACAATTCAAATAACTAGTCTCTCAAAAATGGTCGCTCAAAATAATAATAATAGTAGCCGAACAATGGAAGGCTTTATATACAGTGTCTCACAGTTCAACTGGAACAGCGCCTAGCAAAAAATTTAAAGTGCTATAAGGCTTAAGCAAAAAAACAAACGCAAAATGTTTAAATGCCATTTTTTTATGTTATATCACGTTTGAAAAGGAAACTTCAGTTTTTATTAAAATATCAATTAATTAACTAAAATTAGTAAAAAAAACTGAAAACATATCCAAAATACATGTCAAAGTTTTTTTGGAACAGTCTTAGAAAAGTAACATATTAGGCGTATAAAAACTTAAATAAGGATGTTAATACTTAGTATGATATCCTTTAGCCTTAATAACTTCCCTTAACCTATTATTCATGGAAGATACCAGCTTCCGGATAGTTTCTGGACTGATTTTGCTTCACTCATCCATCAGATCTGTGATTCCGGATGTTATTTTCCAGCAGAGCCCACAAATTTTAAATAACATTTAAATTTGGAGACTGGGCCTGTGGAATTATCATGTGAGGGCAGTTCCAAATAAGCCAGGACTGTACTAATCCATAACATAACATAATATAATAATAATATATATACTTATATGTTTTAATCACCAATATGGTCTCTATTTCTCTGTTGTTTTGGGTGTTTGAGCATAGTAAACCCTCGCGAGAGTTCAGTAGAGTGTATCAAATTATTTATGAACTTGTGTGTACTCGTATATTTAACTACCTCGATTGTGACGGAAAATTCGAAACCCTTGCACATATTTTCTTTAACTTCTTCTACGGCATGAAGTATCGTGATATTGTCAAAACCTGATTATGCTATGTAATTAATGCACTCGATGTGCATTTTCTATGACAGCTTATTGTAATATATGACGCTGAAGCGAAAACTTTTATTATTGCAGTTGTAGTAGTAGTAAAAAACCATACAAATGTGGAAAATACAAACTAACAATCTTTTACAGCACTTTCAAATTTGATAACTATTTTTCACAATGTATTTTCGTGTTATCGATCAGTATTAACTATAGATACAGATATAGATAGATAACGCGCGGACGAAATATAACGGCTTTTATGCGGTCCCACGCGAGAAACCAAAAGTAATAATGACAAACATATTTATATTACCAAACCAAAAACAAATAAAGATAATTATATATAAATGTGTACAGTATTTTTGGTATAAAACCCATAGGTGCTACTCGTTCTCCGTCAGTTGGCATTCATAGTTAGAAAGCGAAAGCAGTTAATTTCAACATGGACTTCTATTATCTTCCTGGATCGGCCCCCTGCGCATCAGTGATAATGACGGCGAAGGCTCTGGGAGTTGAGCTCAACAAGAAATTGATTAACATCATGGAAGGCGAACATCTGAAACCGGAGTACGTGAAGATCAATCCACAGCACACAATTCCAACACTCGTGGACAACGGTCTGGCTTTGTGGGAATCTCGTGCCATTCTCATCTACCTGGTTGAGAAGTACGGCAAGGACGATTCTCTCTATCCCAAGGACCCAAAGGAACAAGCTTTAATCAATCAGCGACTGTACTTCGATATGGGTGTTTTGTACAAGTCATTTGGTGACTATTACTACCCACAAATTCGTGAGGGCAAGCCCGCTAATCCAGAAGACTACAAAAAAATTGAAACTGCTCTTGATTTCCTGGACACATTCCTGCAAGGTCAGCAATATGTTGCTGGCGGTCAGCTGACAATCGCTGACATTTCGATTCTGTCCTCCGTTTCGACATTGGTCGTAATGGGCTTCGATCTTAGCAAGTATCCCAGCGTTGCCAAGTGGTTCGAGAATGCCAAGAAGGAGACCCCCGCATGGAATGAAGTCTGGGAAGGTTTGCAGAAGACAAAGGAGTGGATCGACTCCAAGCTCAAGGCAGTGAATGCCTAAATTATTTTCTATAATAATGAATTGAATATTCAACTAAATAAATGTAATTGTACATAGTTAACAAAGAGGTTACTTAATTTTATCTATTACGTTTAGATATGAATATTTATTTGTATACATTTGCAAGCAACAGTCTGAGGAGTGACTCAACTTGTCTACTAACTATACTTAAAATAATTCAAGCAAATTATGATTCAGTTCGATGATTACGCTAAATTTATATGTGGGTTTTAATGGTCTTGAAAATAGCCAGATATATAATTTATCGCACTGATGAAAATAAGTAGACGCCCGCCTGCCCGCCCGCCGTCCCCTGAATAAAGGACACAATAATTGTAATGACTACAATTAAAAGTATATATTTCAGTTATTCATGTTTACAGGCAAATTATTACAATTAACACAAAATCTCATCACGTTAACCATTTAGTGGCAACAAAGCTCTTCCTACTGTCGAATCCTTCTTTTGTATTTCTTCTCCTACTCGACAAGCGTCTGCAGCTGGCGATACTTGTGAATGGCATTGCGCACAAATTCCGTGGTTCGTCTCACGCGTTCCGGCGTAATTTCCTCAGCTATCATACGGCCCACATCCTGTGCCCCACCAGAGCGTAGATAGTCGGCGGCTTTGCCAGGAATCTCGCAGATGGGCGTCAGCCGGCAAAGAGCATTGGTAATGGCGCCTCCAAAGAGAATGACGCCCACGGCGGATAACACAACGGCTGCAATGCGAAACAGCGTGGACATCAGTATGCTGGGCAGCAATCTGGACACAAAGGCCATTAGGGGATTTAAGCCGGGCGGAGGAGCTGTTGCTGCTATTGTTGTGCTCGCATCTGAAACACTTCCGGAGCCAGCTGGATTCGCCGGCACCAAGAAGCCCTCATAGCCAGTCTGCACCATTATGGGACCCGGATAGGGATAGATGCCGGGCGCGCCTGTTATTGGCGCCGGATAGGCGGCTGCAAGCGGTGCCAAACCCGCTGCACCACTATACTGACTCAAGTACTGCTGAAAGGCCTCGGGGGTTATCAGTCCGCCAGCGTAGACGGACATTGCCTCGTTGCTGCTCGCACTGGCCACATTATCACCAGGCTATGAGAAGATTAGTTGAGGCAACTGTTTTTTATTTATTTGAGTGTTGTTATTTGCACTTACCACTGCAGACTCCTGCGCATCAGTGGTGTCTGATCCTGTTTGGCTGGTTGTATTGACAACTGTTAAGACTGGCTCATTTAATGAATTCGAATCGATGTTGGTGTCTGGTAGCTTATACACCTCTTCTAAGTTGTTGACGTTTGTTGCACCCGATGCAGTTTCCAGTGCCGGCAGCGTGCGTGCCTCGTTCAATATGGTGAACAGGAGCGTTAGACGAAGCAACAAGTTGAATTGATTAAGAAAACTCATTTTGAGGCACTTGCTTCACTTCAGTTGCACAGACAACTGATTACGCGACGTGCACTGCAGTCCTGCTTTATAGTCCTCTTATGCCACGGCCATTTGTTTTGCCAGTTGTCCTTGCATTCTTCGTTGTCCCTTTTGCAATTAATGTCAATTCTTTCCAGGAACTCAATAGCTAATTGTCTTTGGAATTTTCAATAATTTTCCAAAAATACCCATTGTCATTTGCTTACCTGCACAAATAGCCGTAAGCAGGTAGCCAAATAAGTGGCCATGACAATCGTTGGATTACAGTGCTGGTGAAAATATTGTGTATGGCTGAGTTGTTCTTAGCTTGACTCCTCATTTCGCGTTGCTAATAATTCAAGATGCCTTATGGTCGATTTGGATTGGCCAATAAAGTGGCAAAAGTTATCTCCACTGCTAATTCTCCTTCAGCTTCGAGCCTAAGTGTTCTGCTGTTCGCTCCTGTCAAGTTTTTGGTGTACTCAATTGGAAAGACTTACAGCAATCAATAACAAATAAAACACTGGCTATAACAAATTATGTAGTGGCTTAATTTTAGATACAAAACACGAACACGAAATCCTGACCGAGTTTCGGCGGCCGCCCCCAATCAAGCAGCAGCAGCTATTGTTCTACAGCACCCCCTCAAGCTCAACTCAGGTGAACACACATTAGTCGAGGCGACGCGCTGGTCGTCCAGGTAACGTTCGCTATGAAAACTAAACGAAAATAGCAAAACAAAACAAACATAAAACAAAGCGCCAAGCACCCACCGATGACAAGAATATACTGAAAACTCAAACAGGCAGGCAGGCGGATACAACGACGGACAGCCCAGTCGAAAAGTTAAAACAACAAGATTACATCATCAGCGCAGGAGCAGCAGCAGCAGAACCACAGCCAGCAAGGACCACAACTGTTCAGCTCCGTTGCGACAACAGCAGAGCTCAACACTCTCAGGCACACTGGGGAACTGCATTGACATCGACTCTGTGGCCATAGTGCAACACAAACTGGTGCACAGGATTGTGTGAGTATACAGCTGGTGGGGCATTTCCCTTACCCGTATCAATAATGGATAAATAAGTAAGGCAAAGTGTTGCAATTAACATGTCGCCGATAATCTACGTTATGGTATCGGATTGGACATTTGCATACCCTATAAATATGAGTATTTGCCAGCCTTTCAAATATTTGACGAATCTTTTTTTTTTGTTTGTTTCAATTCAAATAGTAAAGTTGACGTAAAATAATCATAATTAGTAATAAATATCAAGCAAACAACTAACTAGAAAATACTTTATTATCGTTTCTCCAACTCAAACCAATTTTTTTTCTACTTTTGCTATTATGATGAAACCAAAAAACAAAGTGAACAGATGCCAATGAAAGATATATTTAAATTGTGAAAGAAGTCTAACAAATTGCATAATGTGTACCATAAAATAATATAATATAAAACTTGACGTTTTCCTCTTAATATAAATTGCAATTTTTTTTAATTTGAAAACAAACAAAATTTTAGTTTTTTATAATTCATAATTAATAGTTGAGTTCGTCCACTTGAAATAATAGTTGTAATTAATTATTTAAAAATAAAAGCAAATGTAAATTTGACCTTTCTTCGTCGTCCCTATTATAGGCTAGAATAAAAGTGCCTAACAATTTGCGTTAATAAAACATATTAAAATCAATGCATTGATTTTCTATAGAGCAACTCAGCTCTGGTCCGCATTTTGCTGGCCAATTTTGAGCAGTTTCTTTCAGTCGTAACTAATGAATCAAACCGAACAGATTGTAACTGAATTTGTCTACTGCCTACTTATCAGAGGTGGGAAAATGTCCACACCAGTGTTTTACTATTTGCCACCCAGTCCGCCCTGTCGCAGTATTCTACTTTTGGCTAAAATGCTCGGGCTGGAGTTTGAACTGAAGATCATCAACATAATGGAGGGTGAGCAACTGAAGCCCGATTTTGTGGCCATGAATCCGCAACACTGTGTGCCCACAATCAACGATCAGGGACTGGTCCTATGGGAAAGGTAACTCTTGGATTTTTGTTATTGATTAAAGTTGATCACCCTTTCGACTTGAATATCTTGACAGTCGCGCCATTCTCTCATATTTGGTTGCTGCTTATGGAAAAACAGACGAGCTTTATCCTTCGGATATACGGGTGCGTGCACTCGTGGATCAGCGGCTACACTTCGACCTAGGCACACTCTACATGCGACTAACCGACTACTATGTGAGTAGCTGCAAGACTTCCAAATCAAAGACTTACTCATATCATGGTCTCTTCTGATTCATTGTAGTATCCCACAATGTTCATTGGTGCCCCACTTGATGAGGGCAAACGAGCCAAGTTATCCGAAGCCGTTGGCTGGCTAAATGCAATACTGGAGGGTAGAGAATACGCTGCCGCCGATCATTTTACCATTGCGGATCTGGCACTGCTCGTTACCGTCTCCCAACTGGAGGCCCTTGACTTTGAACTGAAGCCGTATAAGCATGCCAAGCAATGGCTGGAGCGATGCAAGGAGCACATGGCGCCCTACGACTACGAGGAATTGAATGGCAGCAAGGCTGTAATGTTGGCGGACATGTTCAAGGCCAAGATGAATCAAACAGGTGGCTCCTAATTATACATATCTATATATCCGTAAACTATATACAAATACTCATGTTTGTGTAAATGTTGTATTTAATAAATTGTATTTGGCGTTTAGCTTTCAATGTTGAGTTAGACAAACTCTTTTAAAGTGGTAAGTTTTAAGTCTATATTTGTATATCGAATTTTATTTGTATTTAAATATTACCAGATATTTAATAAGGTATTATTAAATTATCACCAATTATTTTATTTTTGTTTTTAGATAATTATTATAATTATTATTATTATTTTATTTAATTCGGAACTTGTTTTAGTACACATTAAATAAATAAAATAAAATATTTATAAATATATGGAGAGCTGTACCACTGAACACATTGCTTATTATCGTGAACTTGTGTGTTTATATATTTTACTTTAAATTACATTTTTTTATATGTGAGTAACGATTCTAGTTACACAAACACAGCTATTTAATGTGCTATTAAGTCCTAAAATTATATCAATAGGAAAAACCCACATAGTCACCAATTTGTAGCTTCTCGCCCCGAGCACTTGTAACTGTGAATCATTGTGAGATGAAATCCACTTAAAAATAGCTTATCAAAGTCAGAGCTTGTTCTACTTGTGGCGCCACCAACACAAACAAGGACAAATGATGGAAACTAACGGTTGGCGATGGCGACACCTGCCGCTGTAGGGGCAGCTTCATAAAAACCGCAACTTAAATTTAATAATTCGTGAAACTGCTAAACCTAACTGGACCCCCTGAAAGGGGGTGGCTCATGTCTATTTTTAAAGCACACAAACCGGCGCAGGAGCGATGGAAAGTGGCAGGATAACATCGCGATGCTTAACACCTCGCAGCGCAGTCTCATTTTGGCCGCTGGAGATGGCGGCCGCTTGCTTAACTTTGCTCTGTGCACTGATTTTGGCCAGTGGCTGTCGAGTGGCTGGCAATAGTCAGAAACAGCCACAGCTGTGGCTTGGTAAGTTCTTGGCTGCTGAGTTCACGAAGGATTTTGAATGCATAATTAATGAGAGTGCACTTTGACTGCTTGTAGACTGCTCGTGCCTGCATGCCAACGAGCGCAATGCGACACAATGGGGCAGCCTGAGCATAAATGCCAGCCATGTGCTGGGCGCCAAAAACAACTGCCTGATGATCTTCATTGGCGGCATGGTCGATGAGCTTGTAGCCTTTCAGCCGCAGCAGCTGCAACTACGTCCCGGGTGAGTAGCAACGCTTCCGGCCATAGCAAGCCAACCGCACAATTACAGACAGCCACCCGCTGCCAGCCGAATCCAAATCTGAATCGATCCGAGATCTGGATCGGTTGGCGGCCGGCAGCTGCGCAACAGCCATCAAATGTGCAGCAGCGGCCATCGAGGAAATTACGAATGCAATGTAATTAAAATACCTTGTGAAGGCCAATATGGCCGTTCATGTGGGGGGTCCGTGGAGCCGTGCCCAGCACGCCTGGTTATTTATATAAATATATGAATGGTATTCGCAACCGCAAATTTGTGTCAATTTCGTGCAAAGCTGCCAGCAATTTTTGCAGCATTAAAATAATGTGCAACAACAACACAAAAAAAAAAAAAAAAACTGCAATTTCAAAATCGATTTGTCAATAAAATTGGTGAGCAGCTATGCCACAAATTTCAGTGGAACCTGGGCAGAGCGTTGGGCACAACGTTGGCCGTTGCCGTGGTGACAAGTTCTTTCCTGTTTAAAAAAGTGAAAAATCTTAAGTGATAAAACGCTTGCAAGTCGCGTGTGAAATCATATTGCTCAAAATGTCGATGGATCCTTCGGTTTCGCTGGAAGATCTGGAACGCGTGAGTGCAAACTTGGCTAAAGCCATGAATTTTAGTTAAGCCCCTCTGTCTGCCCGTCCAGCGGCGTCGTCGTGCCAGTGCAGCGCGTAAAGGCTCCACCATACAGCAACCACAGTCGACCACCGATTCGGAGGCAATGGCCGTCATCAATGAGATTTTCAATCCCACACTAAAGCTGCCGGAGAGCACCGGTCATTATACGTTGCCGGAACAGCTAAGCGCCGATGATCAGGTGGCGCCACAAGATCTGGACATTGCCAAGCTGGCGGAGTTGAAGGAAGTAAGTGTTTGAGTTGAGGACTGCCACAAATGCTGTTGATTGTGGCTGCTTTACAAAAAGGTGTTCACGCTCTTCGATACGGACTGTGATGGACTAATATCGAGAGATGACCTGCGGTTCACCTATACGGCACTGGGCTATGAGCCCAACGATCAGTTGCTGGAGCAAATGATGCAGGAGGCACAAGAACCTTTGGACTATGATGCCTTTGTACAGTTGATGTGCCGTCGCACCCAAGAGCTGGATCCCGAGGAAGTTCTGCTTGAAGCCTGGAGCAAGTGGGACGATCATGGCACGGGAATGATCGATGAAAGAAAGTGGGTGCAGTATACAAAGTATATTCTCAGTTGGACTTAATAGCAATCGCTCTTCAACACAATAGAATTTACGAGGAATTGACCAACTATGGCGACAAAATGAGCATCAGCGAGGCAAAGGAAGCGCTCAGTCATGCTCCAATGGCAAAACCCAAAACATTGGAGGAACCGCCCATGATTGATTACCCAGCATTCTGTCGCATGTTGGGTGGAATGCGTAAACGCAAAAACTGATAACATCAGAAAGTGAAAGTTCAATTTGTAAAGAAAACAAAAGCGACCAAAAAAAAAAAGCAAAACAATTAACTTCAATAGCAAAGTCATAAACATATTATAAAGTTTTTCAAGTTTCTATAGTATAATTTGTTTTATTGTCTCGCGCCTAATTGAAGCAATTTACATTTCTCTTCGTTACTTTTTATACATTACTTTAATACAATTGTCGTTAATAGTTACTGTGCTATTATTTTTTTCTGAAACGATTTAAACATCGGATTTCCTAACAATGCATATTTCCTTGCTTTCTATCCTGTAGAAAATAATTTTGAATAATCATTAGTTTTGGTTTTAAAACGCTTTCCTATTTTGCATCCTCACAAGTTGCATTATCTCCCGTTGAGTTCCAAATAAAACACTTTTTGAATTTTTTGGTTTGAATATCAATTAATTTAGCGATTTATTTAATTTTATATAATTATTTATGTTTATATTTATTATGACCATCTCTGTCGGCATCTACCGTGAGATTTGTGTGGTAACCTTAACGCCAACGTTTGTTATACTTTTTATCAAAATAAATGATGAAGAACCAAACCAAATCGCAATGCAACATTTTATTTAATGGCAGCTCGCTGGCCGCTCGGTTATTTATAGGCTGCCCAACGAGCCGGCCAAGCGGTTAGCCTCAAAAGTATCGGCCAATAAATTTTTGACATCATTACGCTCTGGCCATACTATTGCCATATGATTACCACTAAGATGCATTTTTTCATTTGAAAAAAAAACGGGGTTTTTTTTTTGGTTTTTTGTGACAGCTGCTTGGATGCCGTGGAGGTCTTTCCGTATCTGCGGGAGCCCGTCATCGAGAACTCAACGCTGCCGGCGTACACTTGGTGCCAGCACAGCGCTCGAAATGCCACGCCTATTTATAGCGCTGGGAGGCTGCTGGGATTGCGGCTAAGGTTTCAGCAGCCACCCACAAAGTTGGCCGGCTGGCCTTTAAATCTGACGGCGACCTATCGATTCCTGAAGCAAGGTGAGCAAATGTGAAACCCACACATATTGAAAATTAAATTCATTTTTTGCTCTTCATGCAGAGAATTTCAAGACAAATGGCCGCCTGGTGCCGCACAGCTTTTGTGACTTTTACTTCTTTGCCAGCACCGGACATGATGGGAATCTGGGACAGGGTTACTTTCACTCACCACGCTTTCCTGCCCACTATCCGGCACACATTAAGTGCGCCTACAAGTTCATCGGGCGTCCCGATAGCCGTGTGGAGCTGCTATTCGAGGAGCTCCGGCTGCCGCCAGTGGCCACCGGCGGCTGCCAGCTAGATGCACTGACCATTTTCGATGCTGAGTCGGCGCATATGAATGCCGTGATTGATGTCCTATGTAGTCCGCGTCCCACGCGTCGCATTCTTAGTAGCGGGCCAGATCTGCTACTAGAGTTCAATGCCAGCTCCAATCGCACGGCCAAAGGATTTCGCGGCAAATACAAGTTTGTGCCTAATGAGCAATCGTCCCCAGTGGCGCCAGTTTTGGAGGCAGCCAGCATAGCCAGCATATCCGTGAAACAGCCTCCCGTCAGGGCGAACAGTTTGCAGGAGGAGGCAAAGGATGTTCGGCCGGGACGTACAAATCGTAAGTTGGCGCCCAATAAATTAGTTATAGATTCTGACTCATACCCAAGGATTCAATCGAATTATGCTAATCGGCACCAAATGGCGGCAAACTTCTTCTACTATGGCGTCGCAATTGCCGCCATCGCTAAATGGCAGCTTCCATCTGTGACTGCCGGAAAACCACGTCCCCCCATCAGAAGCGGATGTGGCCAATTGAGTTGGTCTGTGGGTGGTTTGGAGGTTTGGGAGTGGTTCAGTTTATTTAACTATCAATGCTTAGTCTGCTTTGAGTTGTCGACTAGTTCAAATGGTGTGCTCTGCGTTGTTACTTGTGCTCTATTTGAAAGCCGCCCTTTGGCCAACGTTGATAGCCCTATCCTATGCAGGACTTTCCACTGGCAGTGCGTATTTTTTCTATGTGGTATTTAACTCAACCTTTGGCCAACTATTTATTGAACTAGTTTTGGTGTACTCTTAAACAATGTAAGAATCTATAATCAAAAAAAGAGCTTAATCAATCTCCACAAAATGGCAGCAACTCCACTCCAAAGAACAAACTGCAAGAGCCGATGAAGTATGTAATATCTGTTATAAAAAAAAGTTTAAATAATGGTTAAGTGTCGTGTTTAAAGGACAACGAAATATTTAATAGAAGTTATTACAATTGCTGTAAAAAGTTGTAAATAATAGATTTAATGAATATATTTACTAGTTCAATGAATTCTGACTTGAATCTAGTGATTTTATAGTTATTTAAGATTTGAATGGTATGCAGATGTTGATTTTAATTTATAGAATCGTAAATTCCTCAGTGAAAGATATTTTGGAATTGAAAATACAAAATAATTTGGTCTTTCTTTTATAAAAAATAAAAGTTTTTGATAAAATAAAAATTACGATGCGAGTATCACAACAATAGTAGGTTGTAGCGAACCAAATATTTCGATTTTAAAAATGAGAAATTTGTTGTCAATTTGAATTCAGGAAATTGAAGGAGCCCATACCTTGCCATTATATTCCTAGCCCGCTTAATATTCTCCTCAGTGTTAACTTCCTTGCCGAGATGAATACGCACGCCTCCAAGGGAGCGATAAAAGTAATCGCTCCAGTCGACACTACCCATATCGAATTCAAAGATTTGTTGATCCTGTGGCGACAAGCTCTTCCACAACTTGTCCGTGTTGTGCGTCGCAAAGTGAAAGGATTGGGTAACAAACGGCTTTACGACATCAATATTTTCATGTATTTTCTGATAGATCTTAATCATACGTGGCTTCTGACCTCGCAGGCGCAACGATATGTCGATAAAGTACCCGGGTACAATGTGAACGAGAAATGCGATCAGGTTGAAAATCCATGTTGTGGAGACGATATATACACATGGCAGCCACATCATTTTTGACAGTGGATATGTATCGACCAATTTTAGTGAACAATCTATGAAATTACCCCAGGTAAATTTGTTCTTATCGCTGAGCACATAGTTGTAGATCACTGGCAACTGTGGCGACGCTCCCGAACTTGTGGCAAGCGCATTTTTATTGCATGTGGCATGATCTCTGGCTGTACGGCCAGCGCTGGCCAGCAGCATGTTGACACAATAGTCAACAGGCACAACATGGGCGAGCGCCAACCTATTAATGAAAAGAACTCGCACAACTCCAAGTGCGCAACCGATTATTAGCCCCATGGGACCATATAGATTGTCAACCCAGCCCGGGAGGGGGTCCTTGTAGCTGCCAATAACTGAAATGGAGACTGAGAACATCTTCTTACTGATCTTAATGATTCGACGAACTTACTGACACCCGGGCGAAAGATGCTTATGGGCAAACCGCTGCCCTCCGTCTGCACCACCTCCTCAGCCAGCGCCTTTGTGAAGGTATATGTATTAGGATATTTGCCAATCAGCGCTGGTTTCATGCTGTCGAACAGCTCGTCGCTCAGCTGCTCCCTCAGCGCTAGAATCGTTTCGGCAGTGCAGGTCAAGTTCTCCGGATAGAAGCGCTCGTTGATATGCTCAATGACACAGTTTGAGTATGCCGTAGACACATGAACATATGCCTCCAATCGAGGCATCCGCTTGGCTAGTTGCAGCATTAAGCGAGTGGAGCGCGTATTGATATCCACTGCCAAGTGCAGGGGCTCCATGAAGCGTACACTTGCCGCACTATGCACAACCACCTGCACCTCATCAGTCAGCAGCTGCATATCAGCCTGACTGATGCCAAGTTTCGCATCCAGACAGTCTCCGTTTATCGGCGATATGCGATTAAAGCAACTAGCATCGGATTGGAGCAGCAAACTAAACATCTTGTTGTGTACTCATGGCAATTAGCTTCATTTCGAGACTCCCAAATAACTTGCGGTCTACTTACGGCATTGTTCTTCCAGTCAGCAATCCGTTGCAGCCCATCTTGGCCACGCTTGCATCTGATTAGGACATAGATGCGTTTCACTTTTGTTGAGCGCAGCAGTTTCTCAATGATCACTAAAATTCACCAAATATTGTACAAAACAGTTTCACAACTAGCATATATAAAATTCAATTGACTTTAAGCTATTAAACAATACCAGCACTTAACAAATATGCATAACGAATTCTCCTGCGATTCTTTTTTAGAATTTAAAAATGTATAAAACCTTTTCGTTTCAAATCTTTATAAAGTTAAGACTACTTTGTCTCAAGTCACGCTCCCATTAAAAGTGGTTAAAGATTAAAGAATATAATTAGCTTATTGTTGAGCAAAGAAGGTAATAATAAACTTGATAATTATTGTGCTTACTTGAAGCAAGATCTCAAATTTAAATGTATTTATATTTATTTGAAAAAGACTAAAACGAGTATAGATAAGTTGTGCTAAAGTATTCAATGGGCAGAAGAAAACATTTCTGATCTAATGAAATATATTATTTATTGATCATCATCATTAGCCGAGCCGATTGAGCCGTGTCAGTCTATATATATAATATATTATTGATCAGCAGAAAAAAATGCATCCAGGTCTAATAGAAAGCTCCACTTTCTTTATGAAACCGTATTTGCATATATTGCATTTAACAAATTACACATGCAAGAATATATGTAAAAATGTCTGCAGTTGTTGCTTTAAGTTTGAAACATTCATTTGATTTTTAATTTGACCCTGCACGACCTGCGGCGGGCAGAAAGAAAAGTGCATTTGCATTATAAACTGCATTTGAGTGCGCTTAGAAGCAGTGTCGTAATGGATTCAATGTATTTAACACTTGAGTTCAGGGTATCTCCGAGCCAAGCTATTTTAAATCAACCATTTTTATAAACCAAAGCTCCATTTAGCAGTTGACCTACTTTTTTATGTCAAGTTTTATTTTATTTTTATATAGCCCAAAGTTGAATGTATTTCAAACTGCATTTCACGGTAGCACAGAAATATAGTAGAAATGTATTACTATGACACATTTAGTAAATATTGCTGACAATATTTTTTCTGAGTACAGATGCATTGCCAGCAACGTAGATTTTTATACGTATTTATACTTTTGTCAACACATCGAGAAAAATATATTTTTTTTTATATTTTGAAATTAACCTTTTCAAGCTACCGATCAAATAATTCTTGCAGAAGAAATATATTTTCTATAGTTGTGGAAAAACTAAATTAGTTAATTCGGATTGTAGAACATTGGCTTAATAAAGCATGCGTTTTTTTTACAAGATATATTTATAGTAGAAAAATATTTTATTTATTATTTTTTAAGAGTTAAACTCTTATGTTAATTTGTTGAAATATTTATCCGATTGTAGAATATTTGTGATGGTGTAATTACGTATTCCACTTGTGGAAAGCAATTATAAGATCAGAGCGAAACATATTTCCAGTGTAATTTCAAGTAAACTGACATTAATTTCATAAATAGAATTAATTATCTTTTTTGAAAATGGTATATTTACTGATTGTCAAAATATTTTTGTATATTTAATTTAGTATCCGATCTTGAATCACTAAAGCCATGTGTTTGAATGTGAATAATTTGGGCAATTTGTCATTTTCAAAGGTGTTGCATTTCAATCCATTTACAGCAACTGACAACTCTTGTAAATTCACTCGAATTTTCTTATACCTTTTCCAAGGAAACCGCTGCCGCCCGTTAGAAAAACTGTCTTGTCTTTGTAAAATGTTTGTATTTCAGATTCCGCAACGCTTTCAACACCCATTTTTTTGTTTAACAGCACAAGCTACAAATCCAACACTCCGAAGCAAATAGTATTGTACAGAAAGTATATAACTCGGCCGCGGCTGTCGATTGAATGAGAGCTGCAAAGAACATGCTGACCTTATTTATTCGAGGCGCAATTGTTCAGTATCAAGCGATTAACCAAGCACTCGTATTCAACCTGTGTGATATAACAGAAAGAACCACGAGTTTCACATAACGATCGTTACTATCGTCACTTACACTTACTCTCTTCCCAAATCCAAAAATTCGACACTTTGGGCTAAATAATATCCCCCCAAAAAAAGATAAGCATTTTACATATTTGATTGAAAAGGGCATGGTTTTAGACGGCAACTCACGACGGAGTGTCTTGCATCTGCATCTGCAATTAAATCTTGTTAGAATATATTTTTAGATCTACAACTCGAATTTGTTATATAGTATTTTCATAGAGCTAGATGCAATGAGCACTATTATTCAAATAAATTCACCTGATTGATAACCACTGTTGCACATTGAGCCCCAACTGTGAATAGGAAGTGCAATGTGAGTGATTGGTATATAGAATAAGCAAATTGAAATGGTGGCTTCATATATATTTTGCGTGTATTGCATGGCTGTATCAAAGTAGATACGGACATGATTAAACAGTCCCAATTGTTTGACGTATAACAGGTCACTTGAGGTTTACATTCTATGCACTTGAGGTTTACATTCTACACTGCACATCTAAATTATTTTTTTAGTTTTAAATTTTTCAGCATAAAATTGTGTGCTGCTGACAACGAAAAAGGTGATATCATCCTCATGGATCACAGATTTAAATAAAAGCAAGAATATAATTTAAAAAATATTGCTACAATACATTGCTTTTAAAAATTATTAACATTCAACAAAAATGTACATTCTTATTTATAAGTTGAAAGAGAATCGTTGCAGGCAGGTTATCAAAAACATTGAAGCACTAATCATATATAATTTTGGCTACGATTTCAATATTAAGGCATAGAGTGGATAAGGCTGCAAAGTCTTGGCCCGTATTGATGTTTCCAGCCATTTTACACTGAGATGACGACAGCTGCGATGGTAGAGGGGCCTGCAAAATAAAATTTACATTCATTATATTATACTACCAAAAGTAATTGCCGAGTATTTTCTAAGCACCTCAGCTGCGTTAAATCCACACTTCTGGTTACATCATGAAATACCAAGGAAGCCTTTTGTGTATTCATTGTCAATGTGCCACCATGACGCACAAACTCATCCATGTATTTGCTCTGGGCTGCATCAACAGAAAAGTTTGCCAGAAGACCACTAAACAATTTACTACTCTCGCTTTTAAGTAGCTCCGGAGATTTGCTGGAATTGGATGTGGGCTCATTTTTTACTTCCGTTTTTATCGCTTTGGGCTTGAAGAAATCTTTCAGATTTCCTTGTGATGCGGACGATGGTGCTTCTAACTTAGACATTTTTCGTGTGCTACGTCCTTTTGAAGGCGCTGCTTCTTCATCATCAGTGTCATTTTTCGATCTCTTTGCCTTTTTGCTGCTGCTTGTTAGTGATGCTTTAATTGTTTTGCTCTTTGTCGGCGTCTTCTCTACCTTAAGTTTGTTCTCCAAAGTATCATTACTATCCGGCTCACTGTTAGCCAATAGCAGATCCACATTCACGTTTTGCTTGGAGGCGGCATAAAGTTGTTCCAGGTGCTCCAAATCATTTGCTTGCATTGCGCTTTTATCGCTGCGCAGTCGGGTGATGCGTGGAAAGCGTATGGAGATGCCAGCTGCTGTGTGTGCCTCGGATTGCGTGAATTCGGCGCCCGTGATCTCCCACACGGGCATTTGCTCTGGCACCTTAGCCAGTACATCGGGTACGAGTGCTTTCTTGCAAAGTAACCAGCTGGGAATCTTGTTGGCATCGGCGCGATCTGTAAGCTTCATCAGTGCTTCGTGTACATCATCGTTGGTGACATCATCGAGGCCAGAGTGTACCTTGGTAACTGTCTTCCAAAGATGATCGCGTGCATCAAAGCAGCCCATCAGAAAAATGCTAAGCACACCGCCCTTTTTTCCAGAGCCATACCACGCGCCCAGCACAACCAAATCCGCCGTGTCGGCCATTTTGCCACCAAAAAGATAATCTTTTTTCACTTTAAGCCAATTCCGTTTGCCCGGCTGATAGGTGCCAGCGGGATTCTTCAGAACAACACCCTCCAGATTGGCTTGCAGCACCTTGGCCGTCATCAGGGCCAACTCTTTCTTGGTCTTTAGAAACTCCGATTCGGACAACTGTACATGAGATTTGATTGGCTTAATGTTTTTCTCCAGAATCTCGCGACGCTTACGAAATTCACTAAAATTATAAGCATTAGCATTGCAATATCAGTATTGAAGTGGTTTCCTACTTACACCTGTGTCAGATCATCACCATCGTAGAGCAAGCAATCGAAGACAAAGAGACACACCGAGGCATTCTCAAATGTGTGCTTTTTGTGCGCGCCAAGCGTGCCAAAGGGAAGCAAGCTTCCTGTCTCGGTGTCCACCAGTATGATTTCTGAGTCGAGTATCATATCGTCGGCACCGGGAAAGGCACGAGGTATATAATCCTTTAGATCTTTGATTTTGTGATCCATCACAGGTTTGAGATTGCGACTGAAGAACTTGAATTCATCGCCCTGCTTGTGTATTTGCACTCTTTCTCCATCGTATTTAATTTCGCTGTACAATCCGTCAGGATTCTTCTTGAATGCCTCCTCCACAGACTTGCAGGCATTGGCCAGCATGGGTGAAACAGGCGTCATTACTTGTATACCGCTTGATGCCACCTTCATCTTCTTACCACCGGCTGCCTTTGCAGGAGTTTTGGGAGCCGTGGATGTATCCTGGCTGCCAGCAAAGTTCTCCACAATGGCCGTTAGATCGCGAGAGGATTGATACGCTGGATAGGCCTGCGGCCCAAATGCGTCCAGTATGTGTCTGGCTCGTGCATTAATGCGCAGATCCTGTTTAATGAGCCGGATGAACGTGCGCAAGTCCAGATCTGTTGCCTGCTTACACAACGCGTGCAGCACCTCTGTTTGCTCATCCTCCTTGGTACGCTGCTCCAGTTGGCAGAGAAGCGTTTCCACTTCATGCAAGTAGAGCTTGCTTTGTGCCTGCGGCTTCAGTTTGCTCGAGCCGGCAAAGTGTTTGCGTAGCGTCTCCGAAATATCACCATCTGCAGAAGCAAAGTACGTGCTTAGAGTGGCCCCAATGTGGACATTTTTTATGCAGCTTACCCTGCTCCAGGTCCAGATTCATTTGCTGTTGATCAACATGCAGAATGCGAGCAAATAACTTTAGCAACGCTTTGTTTTGCAAATTGTAGACGCGTTGCGTAGCGCCCGGTATAAGGAACTGCACCCACTGCAGAGTGTCGCCTTGGAAGCCCGAGCCGCTGCTGCCCTTCTTGAAGAAGTGTTCCAGTTTCTCAACTTTTCGCAAATAACTCGACTCGCCCGCAATTTCATCGCAAATGTGGCGAAATGTGTCTAGTTTGTTGTCCTCATTCTGCGCCTGTTTGCTGCCCATAGTTCTGCTCCAGTTGCCAGCTAAGCGCCACAAACGACACTTGTTCAATTTAAGCATAAATTATTTCAAACAATGATGAAACCGTTCTTCTTCTCCCTTGCAGAGCACTGCCGGCAGACGTATGATTCACGCGTCAACAAGTCCGGCATCTTCGAGTCGAATCAGCTGTTGGGCTCATTTATCGGCACAGCGATAAATAAGAATATCGACTCTGCAGTCGTTGTGCAATGCCGTTACGAATTTGAATCCGAGAAACCGGAACGCATTCAAATTAAATTTCACGATTTTAATATACCAACGGAACGGGAGAACTCCAGTAGCTGTCTGGATGAGGATGCACTGCATGTGCTTGGAGAGGTGCGCGGAAAGTACCAGACTCAAGAACTGTTGTGCGGCGCTTTTTTGCCGAAGCCGCTTATGTCCAGCGGCCAAAATCTTCATTTGCAGTTTGTAGGCAAATATCCGCCGAAAATGACCAACAAAGTGCAGTATTACGGATTTCGTGCCGAGTACCGGTTTCTCACAAGTGAGTCGAGCATAATAATAACAAAATTTGAAGAACATTAAAAGCGATAATTTCTGATTTAGATTTTGGCATAACGTCGGGAGTGCAACAGGGAAATGAGTGCAACTTTGTCTACAACAGCAGCGAACGGATTACGGGTCTATTTCACTCACCGAATTTCCCCGGCTACTATCCCGAGAATGTTGTCTGCAATTACTACTTCTACGGAGTCGATGAGCGGATTGTCCTGCGCTTCACGTACTTTGATGTCGAAGGCATTAGCACGTAGGTTGAGTAACAATCTCTCCCCAAGTGAAATACTTTATCTGATTGTTTTCAGATGTGAGCACCAAACTGCCAGCGATTATGTGGAATTCTCCAATTTCATGACCACAGATCGCAAGTTCACCAGACACTGTGGCAAATTACCGGACTTTGAAGTCCGATCCGATGGACGTTTCTTTCGCGTATCCTTTCATTCTAATGATCGGTTTGTAGCCAATGGTTTCCGCGCTCTCTATACATTTGAATCTTTGATTGAGAAAAGTTCTCTGGATATCTCGGATAGCACTGGCTCTATGCAAAGTTATGTCTCCAGTGGAACGCATCATTTACTTAGAATTCTTAGCGTAATAATACCAATTGTAATCTCAATTTATAATATTTAAAAATATAAATTGCATCAATATTATTAAAAATCATTGTTTAAGTTTTAATTGAAACATATATGTTTATATATATATTTTAAATTAATCATTTCTGAGATATATATCGGAAGACCAAATAATTAAGAATGTCAGCAATGTGTTTTAAATTCGCTTTAAAAAAAAGTATATACGTTTAGTATTTTTTAATTTAGTATTTTTCAGAATATCGTTATTTGTAAATATCGATATATATATCGGCACACGAATCAATTAAGTGTAACAGCACTGTTGATTATATTCGCATTACCAACACTGTTTTCAATCACTGCCGCGCAAGTTTCCACTTGCGTACATTTGTTCGTTTTGTCGTCTGCTCGACATTCGTTCATCATTCGCCGACAGCTTTGCGAGGTGTTTAATGCCCGCGCCGCGTTGAATACTCAGTGCTCAGTTTTGTCTGTTAGGCATCCTTAGGGGTGGTGGGCTCGTCACTGTCGTGTCGTGTGTTCGTACTCTGAAAGCAATTCAAAGCGGACAAAAAGCATTACAGAAAGTATTAATACCTAGTAATAAGTGTCAAACAATAAGCAAGCTGCACAAGCATAGCACACCAATAGTTAACACATCAAAAAGCAATTCTACGAACATAAGCTCAAAATGTTCTCACGACCCAGGTAAGCTTTCAATTCAGCTGGCAAGCCTTGTCCTTGCCAAATTAATTTTTGCATACTTGCAAATATTTTTGTGTATTATGCAATTTCCGACCGACTGTTCCACATCCACATCCCAGCTGTTGTTCGTCAGTGTGTCTAATTCGCCGCAGACGAGTGTGCGCCAAGGCAGGCGAATCTCCTCTCCCGCAGCCTTGCTTGTTGCAAGAACTGCGCAGCTTTCGTTTTCATTGGCACTAACTATGCCAACCAAATACACACAGACGTACACACACACACTCAAAGTTTCGCTCACGTTTTGGCATTGACCTAACTTTTCGGTTTTACGCTTGTCTCCCAGTTTCTGCTGCAACAGCTGCTCAGCTGCAAAAACAAGTTAAAAAAAAAACAAAAGACGACTTTTTCTCATCCCCTTTTGATGTTTTTCCTCATTGCGTAAGAATTGACAGCTCATGTGCGCAAAAAGTAGAAATTAAATTGCACTAGAACTAAATGGCATAATAATAGCTGCAATTACACACACAAAACAAATCAGCTGAACGAAAATCAATAAACAAAGACAGATAATACGAGTGTGTGTATGAATGTGTCTGCCTCCAAAATGTATATACATAATTTGTTGTATGACTAAAGAAGACACCTTCACCTTCACGTTCATGGACATGGACATACTGTCTATTAAATTTTGCTAAAATATATAGACATATATAATTCTTCTACTTATGCCAAATTCTAATTTTATATACATTTCAGACAATACATACACAAATATTTGCGATATTATTTTTTTTTTAATTTGTGCTTTTTTCCTTGCTTTCGTTGCCAAGTTCAAACAATTTGTATTGCTGCGCAGCTTCATGAGCTATCTCGCTCACTCTGCTGCTGTTTCTCTTTTATTTTTTATCATTGCCATTCACATGCCAAATTGTAGATATCAGGGCGAAACATATTTGAGTCCATTGACTTCTTTTTGGATATGCCACCAAGCTAAAATGTTCTTACTTTTGGACTTATATATTTACATGTCTACAAATAAATTTGTGTGTATGTTTGCGTCTATGTAATTATTTGGCAAAGTCAGCGTTCTGCGTCAGCGTTTAATTATTTATATACACACACATATACAGCAAGTTTACACCACGATATTATCGCGTGATGTGTATCGTAATATTATGTCATACTATTTATATTCCTATTGCTTGAATTAATTTTAGTTCGTTGTGATAACAACTAAAAGGTTTCTATAACATCTACTTTGTGGGAAAATTGTAATTTTAATTGTACATTTGAATTAGCTTACGATCTGCTTGAAATTGCTCTAAATTGGAAACTTTGAAACTTACTGGGAATAAACGAATACGTGACTTTTTAATGAAAAAAAAACACTTATGAATTTTAGGAAAATACTCCCGATATTGCCATGGGAATAACGCAATCTAAAATATTGAGCATTATTTGTTTATCTTATAAGCATTGGCAAATTGCGGAAATGTTTATGACATGCATTTACAGTCGTGAGCGTGATTAGATATAACAAGTCTCAATGCACACACATACATACTTACATACATTATAAATCCATATATATACACAGTTGTGAAAAAAAGTAATTGCACTACGACATTTTCTCTTTCAAACCTTACAAATTTGGATTTTTAATATATTGTGTAGTATTAAAGTGCTGCTTCTTAGTTCTTTTCAATATATACACACATATATATATATCTTTTTTTTATTTTTTCCATATTAAGGGAAAGTGCCGAAAGTAACGAAGAAAATAATAGTACCACTTACTCAGTTTAGATAAATCTCTTATTTACCTCTAGTTTTCATAATTATAAATGCACTTTTGAGAAATAGCCCAATTATTTTCTTCAGTTACCATTAAATTTAATTTGAACCGATGAATAAAATAATGTTTTCTTAATTTCTCACTTCCTTTTCAAAGTCTTCTTCCAATTCGAAAAACGTATCCATAAGTTGCTTAAGCTTACAAATTTAAAAGCGAAACATTTGAAAACAATTCTTGTGAGAGTGGTGCGATTATTTTTTTTCTCTACTGTATATGTATGTATATGATGGATATGCGAAATTGCTCAACACTTGGCACTCATGTGAGAGCCGCTTCTGGTATTAAGCTGTACAAATATCAACAAAATGACTCCTGATGATAATGATACGTGCCCATACACTCTTACACTCTACCGATAATTAGCAATCAGGAATGTTTGTCTACGGCGACGACGTATGTGGGACAGGGGGATAGTTGGATACCACGTCATAAGCTCGTGGAGGATCCATAGAATCATCAATTACGCGTTTTGCCAGCTGTGAAAGCAGAGCTAACATAATATAATCCCAATGCTACTGCCATCAATAGACCGAAATTATGGTCACAATGGAGGGGGAACACTAATTTGGTCAGAATCGCATAATAACACTTGCAAAACACTTGTTGTCGTCATGCTGGCTTTTGGAATCTTATCGCGCCTCCAATGCGCGTTAGTTTAGCGTCAATGTGATAAACAGCAAGCGAGATTGCGCTAGTGGTTGACTTACAAATCACCTGTATGCCAACAATATGGAGTACAATTCCACTTAGTAGTGTAATTAAAGCTTATATTATTATTTAACATTTGCTTGCAATATTTTATTTAGTTGTAATCAAAACTTATATTCTTAAATTTCTTTTGCTGGTAATATGTGATAGGCAGAAAAGATAAAATAATACTTTCGCCTTCAACTCAGTTCAATTTGAACTGCTAATGAAATATAAGGATTTGAAATTTTCTTAATACCAATTGATCATAGTAAGCTCTAGTCAAAGTTTTTCTTTTAAAATGCGAATTTCAATCTTTTCCTTCATTTCGTTTTAATATCCTAGGTATTATACAGGGTATACAAAACCTATATATCATATACCAAAGTTGTTATCTTAACAAATTTGTATCAAATGTTGTGTGTCTTACAAGCCAAACGAGTTTTGGCATTTTAAAGTTTATCAAAAAAACAAAAATAAAAAGAAGGAAAATATAAACAGCTGACTTTGACCTTGGACTTGGACTTGGACTTTTTTGAATGCCAATGCGTATCGCCGGCAACAATTGTCCCAATCATTATATATTTAAGTCACTTTCATTTTAATTTATTATTTTTTGTTGCAGCTTGTGCGGAAATCTCGGCAAATTGTGCCGCAGCGGCACTGCAGCAGTAACAGCGACACCAGCAACAACATTGCCCTCATCATCGGCGCTGGCGCTGTACGATGCCCGTGGTTATCATGAGGTTGTCGGCGACATCATCTGCCCCTCGCAGGTGCGCGGCATTGATCACATTCGCGATCCGCGCTTGAATAAGGTAAGTGCGCTTGCAAATTGCGACACAGCTGGGGCTGGACTGGGGGTTGTATTCGTATTTGTAAAACGATGACACATGAACTGATTGCTTTCATTGCGCAGGGTTTGGCCTTTACGCTGGAGGAGCGTCAGGTGCTGGGTATTCATGGGCTGCAGCCGGCGCGTTTCAAGACGCAGGAGGAACAGCTGCAGTTGTGCAAGATTGCCGTCAATCGGTATACGGAACCATTGAATAAGTATCTGTACCTGAGCGATCTACACGATCGCAATGAGCGTCTCTTCTTTCGTTTCCTGTCCGAGAACATTGAGGATCTGATGCCGATTGTGTACACGCCCACAGTGGGTTTGGCATGCCAGCGCTTCGGCCTGATCTACAGACGTCCGCACGGCCTCTTTGTCACATTCAATGATCGCGGTCACATCTTCGATGTGATGAAAAATTGGCCGGAGCCAAATGTTCGTGCCATTTGTGTAACGGACGGTGAGCGTATCCTGGGCCTGGGTGATCTTGGCGCCTGCGGTATGGGCATCCCAGTGGGCAAACTGGCGCTGTACACGGCTCTGGCGGGCATCAAGCCGCATCAGTGTCTGCCCATTGTTGTGGATGTGGGCACCAATAACATCGATCTGCTGGAGGATCCGCTGTACGTTGGCCTGCGACAGAAGCGCGTCGTGGGACGTGAATATGATGACTTCATTGATGAGTTCATGGAGGCGGTTGTCAAGCGCTATGGCCAGAACACTCTTATCCAGTTTGAGGACTTTGGCAACCACAATGCATTTAGATTCTTAGACAAGTACCGCAACACATACTGCACCTTTAACGATGATATTCAGGGCACAGCTTCTGTGGCCGTGGCCGGTTTGTACGCCTCCAAGCGTATCACGGGCAAGTCCTTCAAGGATTACACTTTCCTATTCGCTGGTGCCGGCGAGGCAGCCATTGGCATTGCCGATCTTGTGGTCAAGGGCATGGTCGCCGAAGGCGTGCCCATCGAAGAGGCATACAGCAGAATATATATGGTGGACATCGATGGTCTGTTAACCAAATCGCGCAAGGTGGGCAACTTAGATGGCCACAAGATCAACTATGCTAAAGACGTGGAACCCATGTCCGATCTCGAGCAAATTGTGACGGCAATTAAACCAAGTGTGAGTGTTGTAGCTATATGATATGCACCATTTCTGAGTCCTCCTTTTAAATGCATCCAATTGAATAGGTTTTAGTTGGCGCTTCGGCTTGTGCCGGTCTCTTCACGCCAAAGATTCTGCGCACCATGGCGGACAACAATGAGAGGCCTATCATATTTGCTCTCTCAAATCCAACCAGCAAGGCGGAATGCACAGCTGAGGAGGCTTACCAAAATACGGATGTGAGTTGTTGCCTCATTGTTATTGTACTGGGTAATAAGATGTGTTTGTTTTATTTTTAGGCACGTGTCATCTTCTCATCGGGCTCGCCCTTCCCACCGGTTACCATGGGCGACAAAACTTACTATCCTGGTCAGGGTAACAATGCCTACATCTTTCCTGGCGTGGGTCTGGGCGTCATTTGCACGGGCACCCACCACATACCCGATGATATGTTCCTGATTGCCGCCCAGGAGCTGGCCAACTTTGTGGAGCCCAGTGACATTGAGCGTGGCTCGTTGTATCCGCCTCTGGCGAGCATTCGTGATGTCTCCATGAATATTGCTATTGGGGTGACCAAGTGTGCTTATGACAGCGGTATGCTTTCCATTTTGTTCATGTGATCGGATACATAAGCTAATGAATGTTTGATCTGTTTAGGTTTGGCATCGACATACCCAGAGCCGCAGGACAAGCGCAAGTGGCTGGAGGATCAATTGTACAACTTTAACTATGAGTGCTCGATGCCGGTGACCTGGACCTGGCCACGCATGCCCTACATCAAGACTCGTGAATTAGTGCCCACCAAACTCTATGGAAAAAAAAGTGATTAACATTTGTTCTTTTTCTTTCTATTTTCTACTTTAGGCGCAGAGAGTCCGCTAATTGCCGCTATTAAATAAGAAAATCGTTCAGTTCTCTTGGTTGATCGTTTGATGGCACCTTCTGTATTGCATTATAATCCATTCTTCGTACTGCTATTACTACTACTACTACTACTTCCAAGTGACCACCATCAGCACCAAAAAAATAAAATAAAACTAACCAAAAGTAGGCCTAGATAATTTCTGCAATGGCTCACACAATCTTCATATATGTTATATGATTAAATTACTCGCCACGTTGCTCGTTGCAAGTTCAAGATCAGCCGGCGTTATGGGCTACGTGCTCCTCAGCTCTCATTGATGACTAAAATGCAAGCGAATTTCAACAGTGTACTTTAACTTACTCATTATAATTGTTAGCCATAGATCCGAGCTGTGTTGTTGATAACCAAGCGACGTGTGCGATAGAAAACTTTATGTATTTTCGATATGTTAATAGTATTATATATGTATTTTGTATATAATGTTTTTATTTGTATAATGTTATCAAGTTAATTTGTATGTGATCGACAATGATAATGCAACGATGTATGCGATCGTATAACTATTCTAATTTACTTACTAACTGCTTTGCATATGCCTTGTTTTTCCTGAAATTAAGTTTAATTGGCTTGTTGGCTTTTTTTCCCTCTGGCTATCTATCTCTTGCTTTAACTTTCTTTCTATCTCTTCATAACTAACCTCTTTATTTCTCCAACTTTAAAGCAAAATGAACATTTCAAGAATTGATTGATATTGATCTATTGCTATTTTCATCTCCTTGATATACAGAAAACGAAGATATCATGTAAATTACCCAAACCACACCGACCGCAAAGAACCATTGGCAAATATAGACAGCAGAACGTTGAGATACTTCTGTCCATCCCTAAATGAAAGCAAAAAAAAGAGCAGCCGTTGACTTCTTATAATTAACTCTTAATATAAAAGTTAACAATCTAAGTAAAAAGTTTTAATTTAATACACCTATATAGCGTATATAGAAATATATATGTATGACTATAGAAATGATTATTATTTTTGTTGTTGATCCATGTCTGATATTTATTAAATAGCCAATAAATAGCCTTGTTATAATTTATTGTTATAAAAGTACATTTTTAATTTACCCAATTAAATACCTACAAATTACTATCGTGGAGTAATCTGGAATCAATTTTACAATTGACCAGCTGATGTGCGATGATCAATAAAATACAAAAAAATTGGTTATCTCAAATATCTCTGTGTGTTTTTATATATGTGTGTGTGTTATCTGTAAAATATTGCCTGTGTTAACCATTGACACTATGTAGACAGTACATAGAGGCTTCAAATCGGCAAAAAAAAAATGCATCAGGTTTTATCTGAGCCTCTGGTTACAATTGTGCTCAGACGGCAACGTGTCGGTAGGCACACATACATATGTGCATGCATACAAATATAGCTAGATATATAGATTGACTAGCGCAAATCTTAAAAGAGATATGTCGATTTGTCGCCTCTATGTATTGTCTGCTTAGTGCAATAAGTTAAATGTTTGTTAAATGCTCTTGTTGATTGAATTTCCCATATTTTCCAGTTACTGGGAAAAATTATTTATTAATTGTTAGCGAAATTGAATTTCTGGTTGTTATACTAATATTCTGATATATATTTTTATCATGATTCTTCATCTTGATGAAATGTGTATGATTAGTAAGAATAATACATGGTTATGAGAAATTCAAATATTTCTCTGCGAGTATTACTTTTCTTATATTTATAATAATAAAAGGGATCATAATTTAATAGACTTACGCGTATTTAAAAATATATTTTACAAACTTATATTATACTCATTCGTCGGTTCTGTCGTATTTTGTAGAATGAAAGCAATGCTTTAACATTCTGGTTGATTGAAGAAGAGAGCATCCAGCCAAGCTGAGAGTAACAGCTTGATAAGCTCGAAGAACTACTCTTTAAGTATTAAAGTACGCATATGAAAAAGAACTGATTACGATTGGCTAATCAGTTGATTGCTTATAAATAAAAGTAAACGCAATATTTATAAAATGTATTGAAATATTATTAACAAATACAAATCGGTTTAAATAAATAGTAAGTATTTGCGCTACTAAAACAAATGCAACTACAGTTTGATGCATTGAAAAGAAAGTCGAACACATGGAAAGACTCATAAATAGCTTGTGTTTGAGTGGGGAAAACCAAATCACACGACGAGCATTCATTGAGAACTCCGAGAGATGATATGAGCTGAGCTGAGATTTCAAGCTGGCTGAGCGAGCAATCTGAAGCAGTTTATTCGTATAAAATAATGTGTTTTGAGCGCAGTGCTCGCAGTAACACTTGGAGCGCCTGTTGAGTGTGTTGATAGTCAGTTAAAAAGCTGTTCTTGATCAGTGTTCAGTCTTAGCATTGGCAATAAGATGATGTTTCGTTGTTGTTTCCTCGTCGCCGTCACCTGCCTATTTGCCGCTCGATCCGCACGAGCAGGTGAGAAAGAAAATTTCCCATGACTCGACTCGTTTGGCTTGTTAACTAATTATTTGTGTACATATCCATATATATATATATATATATATATCTACATATATTTATATTTAAATATATATATACATGTGTATAGCATACGCCGACGAATGTCAAACCTTGAGTGGAGAGCGGGGCCAATGCTTGCCATTTTCCTCCTGCAGGGACATCGAGCAGCGTCTCTTGGCCGCCCAAAATACTGGGGAACAAGTGACACCGGAATTAGCCAACTTTCTGCAGAAGGCGTCCTGCGGTGAATTCGATAAAGTGGTAATTAGCCAAATGAAATTCAATTGAAGCTGAATTTAATCAAATGACAAATCGTGTAGCGCCACTTTTGCTGTCCGATGCACCAAATCCAGCACAACTCCAAGGTTATGGAGGTGTTTACGAGTTCCAATTTCAGCTGCGGCTCCATTCTCAATCAGCGCGTGGCCAATGGCCATGAGGTTAAGCTCTCCTCCAGACCCTGGATGGCCTTGCTCAACTACAAGACCTTTGACCAATCTCGTTTCCTTTGTGGCGGCACTCTCATCTCGAACCGTGAGTTTATTTTTTTCATCGATGTGGATTCATTACCAATGCGGATTCATTACAATATCACATTTAGGTTATATTCTAACCGCCGCTCATTGCGTATATGGATTGGAGAATTCGCTGTGAGTATGAGCTATAAACAACATTAAATATCCTTGCTGAATTATTTTTGAAAAGTTTGAACTTAAACTGGATACCTGTATCTAGAAATATATTGCTCAGCTTCGACAGACAATCGATTATGGTTATTTATTTGAGTTCACTTACATTGATAAATTTAATTATTTCGTTGTTTCAGCTATGAAATTCGTTTAGGCGAACATCGCATTTCCACGGAGAAGGACTGCCGAAGGCTGGGACGCAGGGAGAAGTGCGCTCCGCCAGTGTTGGATGTGGGCATTGAAAAGATGATTCTGCATGAGAAATACGACACCAGGCGCATTACCAATGACATTGCCCTGCTGCGTCTGAATAAAACCGTTGAATTCCAGAGTAAGTTCAAGCAACAGCATTACCCTTGTCCATCACTAAGGAGAAATCATCTTATAGAGCACATTAAGCCCATTTGCTTGCCGATCAACGATGAATTGAAGGGACAATCAGAAACCATGTCCAACTACTTTGTCACCGGCTGGGGCACCACCGAGAAAGGTTCCGCCTCGGATGTGCTGCTGCAGGCGAGTGTGCCCATCCAGAGCCGTTCTACGTGCTCACAGGCCTATCGCCGCGAGGTACTCCACACTCAACTGTGTGTGGGCGGTGGAGATCTGCAGGACTCGTGCAAGGGTGACTCTGGCGGGCCCCTACAGGCACCCGCTCTCTACCTGGACGAGTATAAGCTGCGCATGGTGGTGTTCGGCATTGTTAGTCAGGGTGTCAAGTCGTGCGGCCAGATCAGCCTGCCGGGCCTTTACACTAATGTGGCTGACTATGTGCAGTGGATAACGGACACCATGGCCAGACATGGACTCCAGTAACTCGTATGGAGTCTTGCGGTTACACCTCATTAATGACACCTACATACATAAGTGTTGCCTGTAAGGGAGCACCTGCTAATAATGAAATTCATTGTTTCTAAACTAATTTAAATACGCAAATATATTCTTTATATTTTTTATTGAAACTTTGTGCACCACTACGATTCTTGTCTCGGGTGGGAAATTTGACGTACTAGTATGTGCTCGCACTCGTGACAGAAATTAGGTTGCGGTATTGGCTAAATTTCCCTTGAGCAAATCAAATCTGGGTATCGAATTCAACCGTTGTGTTGTTTCGCGTTTGTGTGCGAACAGTTGTGTAACATGTGCAGATTTTCGATATTCAACAGATGGTGAAAGGTCACCAAAGGCTGCACTTTGAAATTGAAGCGGAACGCTCAAATGCTGATTCAAAGCATTAATCTACATTCATTATATTTTATTATTTACGCTGTGCAAATACAGTCTACTTCTGCTTAGCCTTGTAGACCAGATATTTTGATGAAGTCAAGATATACGCAGAGGTAATTTGTTATTCGCAAATGAAACTGACGCACAGAGTCACTCTTAACCTTATTCTTATTTGTTTAAGTAACATAAACACATATACAGTGTACATATTAAAAATGCGTAAGCACAAAAGTTTTTATGAAAGTTATTGTACAGAAACTAACCAGCAACAATAACAAAATATTTTGATTAAAAAGTTGCAACTATTTCATATATAAATTCATATACAAATCGGATCAAATATTTATATGAGAAAATGTTATACATTTCAAGCAATTTTCCTTTTGTCTGTTAAAAATCATTTATTATAATATGGAAAGTTTCCACGCAAGTCATTTCGTTGTGCAAAGATTTTTATATGAAAACGAGTAAGATAATACTAGTTCCATGTGCTCCACTATAGAATACCTTGTGCCCCATGTTGCACATATATGGGAACTGCTCTTTTCAGCTATTGACACATTTATTAGAGCAACAAATCAACGCACTATACATTTACATACTTTTTTTTCAGCTCGACTGTGGATTCTTAACAAAAATTTATATTCTGTTTCTTATCAATGGAAACAGGGTATCATAAGTGTTTTTTTTTTTATTTTTAAACTAAACATGTCGTGTATTTAAACGAATTAAATGTAAACACTTGGTACATCTTCACATTGTCAAAACATTAGTGGCTAAACATACAGACGAATGAGTTTGTCTGACTGTAGTATCAGTTAGTATATACATACATATAAATGTGCAATGTGAAATTAAACACAATATCAATCATTGACAAAACTAACAAGAAATAAGAATCAGCAGAAGTCATGCCTCCAATCTTAAGTTTTACTCTGTGAGGCAATAACAACTTTTCAATAGGTAAAAATATTTTCTATTTAAATGCGAAAGCAAATAGATTTAAAACTTTTTTCTTCGCAACTTTTCTAAAGTTTTCTTGTTGTATGCTAAAACATAATGTATACACAACTCAATATAAGTAGAAGTGCATAAATTACTTTTGAAAATGTTTGTTAAAGTTTCATGTTTCTGATTTTAATCTAGCTAAGCTGATTGACATATAAAAAGCTTTTTGCCAAAAAAAAGTGACTTTTTGATTCTTATAAAATATACTTTATTTGATTGTCAGGCATTCAGATTCAGCTGCGTTTTTTGCTCAAGCTGCCGCACACACAAACTGAAGTTGTCGACAAGTCTTCAAGTGTGCTTTGTCAGAAGAAAGTTTTTAGGTTATCTTATCATCGCACTAATTGCGGAAGAATGCAAGGAGGCGTAAACGATTTGGTTGGCTTGGCAAGCAGCTGCCTGCTGCCTGCAACTGACTCGCTGCACTCATTGGCGGCGTTAATTAAAAGCATCTCAAGGCACAGAAACTAATAAAAGCCAAACAGTTTTGGTTTCACGAGTTTCTGCTTTGAGCTCTTCGATTTCTTCGCTTTAACAAATCCATGTGGCGCTGGCATTGTCGATTTTTTGTGTTGCAAATAACAAAAAAAAAAAAACCAATAGAATGAGCGAACGGCGGTCGCGGTTTTGCCACGCCGCATTTCTCTTTGGTTTAGCAGCCTCTTGTTCTTTTTTGTTGCTGTCCAGGACGCAGCATGTGGTGGTTGGTGGACTAGTGAGAAGTGGTCGTCGCGTAGTCGTTGTCTACGAGGAGATGCCTCGTTTCGTTGTTAGCTTGATTGCCTGTTCCTGCTGAGCAATGAGGGTACTACAATTTTGTCGTGAAGCTTGTAACGTATTGAAGGCGACGTCTTTGACCCCAGAAGATCTCACAAGCATTACTAGCCGAGTCGAGTCCGTCTGTCTGTCTATATCTATGTCAACTACAGATACAGATAGTCCAAAGATCATTATACAAATCACCCTTTTGACGCTAAGCGTAACTCACCTTATAATTCAGAAAATATATTTTGAAATGGTTGTGATCTTTTCAATATTATTTTCTAAGTTTCAGAGATTTTTTTTTAAAATAAATATTTGCATTTCGCCTCTTTATAAATATTGTCTGTTATTAAGAAATTTCTACAAAATAGAAACGAAATGCATTTTCTAATTTTGTATATTTAGAAATTATTTCTTAAACCAGAAGATTTTTTAGGGTGATTTTCATTTTAGGGGTTTTTATTTTAATTTTCAATGCGATTCTCTTTCTTGAAAAGTTTTTGTTTCCAATTCAAGCTCATGAGGTTTGCATATTTCCAAGCTCCTAACTTGTGCATAATAATAATAAACATCAAACTACGAATTCAATCAATTTAAGTTCAAGGAAACAATCGGTTGGTTTTCTTAAATTATAGTGAAATTTAGTTGTCGGCAATGTGACTCTGGCCTGCAAGGGTATGCAATTTTCGGCTTGACTTAGACATCCATTCTTGTTGTTTTTATTATTGTTTTTCATGTTGTTTTCACTTGCAGCTGAACGGGCAAGAGTCCCCCAACATTTGTGTTTGTTTTCCATTACAACATATTGTTGCTGCCGTGCACTTACATTGGGGGCGGGAAGGAGTATTGCAACAGCCGTCGCCAAAATATTGACACTGCCGAATTGTTTTTGTGTCCTCTGCTCGCCAAAGTGTAAACCAGACTAGGCGTAAAATTAATGAAACTTAAAGCCGACAACAAGCACAGCAAGTGGCCAATACGAATAAACCAACAGTCGCCCACCAAATGAATGCCATTTATCATATGCACTTAATACCCGTATACGGATTACAACTACTGCCAGTAAATTGGCATATCAGCGCTGCAATTACTCATTTGCGCAACCATACGAAAACTGATTGATGTTGGTCATATAAAACACATACAAATTGCATATACTCTGGTAACGATACCATATTGAAAATTGCTCGTATTGGTAAATTATTCCATTTAAAAATTCTTGTTAACATTTTTTGGAAGGAAATTCTAAATGTATTTTTGAAGCCATTAATTATTTTTGATTTAATATGTCATATCCTGTAAATGAATGTTATATGACTCATAGGCCATTCTTTCTTGACTCTTTTGGATTTTTTGGCGTTCTTCTTTTCGCTGCACTTAAAATAACTCTTAAGTAAGACAGTTAAAAGTTTTTGTTTAAATATATATATTTTTTTTTCAGAAATTTTAAAATTATTTTTTGAAGGCAAAGACGTTAGCATCAAAAATCACTTACAGGACTTACTGTAAAAGTGCAATAAAGATCCCATTGCATGCACATAATGTACGATTGGAATAAATAATGACTTAAATGAATTATTCCTAGACTTTAGAAATTTCCAGACAGTGGAAGAAAGATGGACTGGCAATGAACTCAGAAGGTCTCCTTTGCAGTTGCTTGCGTTACGTTCATATTTTGCGAGGAGCTCTTTGCTCAAATTACTTATTGAAACTTTTTGGCTTTTATTTTATTTCCGAATGCAATGGCTGGGCAGGATAAAACATTTTCCATCAGTGCGTTGACATTTCTGTTTATCTCTCTCTCTCTCTCTCTATATATATATATATATATATATATATATATATATATATATGTGAGTATGTATGTATGTGTGTGTGTGTCGATTGCACATTTGCATACAGAATTTAAATTATATTGTCCGATTCATGCTTTGACACTTATCAGACAAAATGAAAGAAAAGATGACTCCAGCTACAACAAAAGTACTGTAGTAACAGGAAGGTACTAAGGATGCGAAACACGCCCTCACACATACACACATACACACACACTCAACAAGGACGACAAATAAATAAACATCACCTTAAACTCACACGACTGGTAGCTGTATTGGTGGTGCGAAATGTCGCAACCACTGACTAACACATCCAAACACTCACAAGCTCGCACACATGCACACACACACACACACACACACACACCCACTCGCACTCATTGAATGCGCTTTAATATTTCAAAAGCTTTAATGAAATCGCTTTGCTTTTCTCAACTGTCGTTGGCCTTTTCAATTTGCTCCTCCAAACGAGGCGGCTGCTCACGACTGTCGCCTTTATATGTACCCATATACTATATATATATACATTTGGCATATATAAAAGGAGCAAGAACATGCCTTAGAATGCTGTAAGTGTATATAAACACATATATATACTTTGAAAGCACACATGAGCAGGTGACTGTAAACTTTATGAAATGAATAAAAATTGTCGCATTCTGTAAACTGTCAAATTGAGTCCAAAATTAGTTTCAAGGGGGATCTTCGGAACTTTCACATTGCGATTGCATAAAAATGTAAAACTTAAGCACACTCTTTCAAAGGTGGTGTTTGTTCAATAACAAGCACCTTGGGAAATTTATAAAAAAAACTTATTCATGTATTTTTACAGTTGAAAACATTGCAATACAGTAAAATCTAAAAAGAAAGGTGTATAATTTTATAAACATTTCATGTGTGCATATCAAAATAACCTATACCTCATAGAAGTTCAAAGTTAATTTTATATACGTATCTGGTAACCAAACGACCGAAACAAGTTTAAAGAATATTTTTCAGTCGAATGCATTTGAAAACCCCAAAGACCAAAAATAAATACGATTACCGCAACGGAACCACCAACCACCACCAACAATGCCACCATCAAGCAGCAGGTTACAGATAACCCCACCCAACCACCCCCCTTGCCC